CATGGGCATGGACGAAGAGAAAAGCCATGGGGAAGAAAAGCAGAGCAAATGAGCAGGGAGGAGAAATGGGTATGGTCGGGAGCTGCAGAGGTAAGGAGGGCTGATATTCATGAAATAACCAGGTGAATGTTGGACTGTACCTTTCTTGGATAATTCTGTTTTCACCAACCAGGACTTTAAACGTAGACACCTCTTTCTCTGAGAATTTGTCCAGATTAAATCAGTCTAGTGACAAAAATATTTGAAGAATCATGATGAGAATAGCAGGAGATATAGAAGGTTATAAATTAGTTACTTTGACAGCTGTGTGAGGGAAGCTTGCATAACACCTGCCCACACAAGGCCTAATTCAATGTAATATTAACAGTTCCTCGCTTCTATGAATGCTCCAAAAAGTATTCACAGACTACAAAAAGCGACTACTGCAAACGTATCAAATATGCCTGTTTTTTAATTCCATTTGGTGCAATTTATCCATTTTCACTGTCTGAAGAGTTGCAGAAGTTAAAATTACATACTTGAAAAGCTTGCTTTAACTAGAAAAACCATTGTTTTTTGGAACTCTTGATTCCAAGCTGAAAACAGTGCCTGTTGCATTTTTCTGCCCTATAAGATTTTATGATAATGGCAAACCTGTTAGTAAAACTGCCTGAAGGCACACTCCTGAGGTGTGCTGTGTTCAAAATTACAAATATATTTAGTAGACATAACATTATGTTAGCTGGATGTTAAGAAAGCTGGAAGGTATTTTATTATCATTTCAGACTAGTAGCAGGCAGCCTACAGTCTCAATTTAAAAACTTAATGTTAAAAAATTAGTGAAATGTTATATTATCTGGTAATTATATGCACTTGGGAACTGACTTTGGGCCAGAAAATAAATTCAGTATAGTTATGCTTTTTTGGGATTGCACTAGTTCAGCCTGCAGGTGGGAGAATGCATATTTAAATGTTCCCTTTTCCAAAAAATGTACAAAATTTGCATATTAGGGAGAAAGATTCAGTTTAGCTTCCTGTTCCACCACATGTGCAGGGAGGTTTTGTTTTGTTTTTAGAGGAGTCAGACATGGTACAGTGTAGAAACAGCTTTTTAGGTTTTAAGACTGCTGAATGTATAAACTCAGTCATTTCTTGGAACTCTGATTTTTGATTATTATTATTTTTGGTAACTGAGGGCTCTTGAGGAAACATGTGTTTCCCCCTCCCCTTTCATTTTTCTTCTTGTGAAAGGATGTTCAGTATGATGATTCAGAAATGATTTAAACCTTCTTTGGGCTTTTGTCTGAACATGTGAGAGTTATAAGTGCTTAGGGGGCAGGGTGTGCATGCAAGCTTATGCATTAAGCATGAAGAACTGAAGGGGGTTTCAGAGTGATCTTGAGATGAAGAATGAAAGGTGGCATCTAAACAAGAAAATGTTGAGGTAATTCAAACTGTTGAAGTCTTCAGTTACCTCACACAGACTAAGTGTGTGTTCAAGTCATGACAAAGAGGTAAGATTTCTAGATTTCCTAGAAATTACAGTGCACTATAGAACAGTTGGCAATGGAACTGACCAGAGGGAGGTCAAACTTTAATCTTAAATTGTGACCAGGATCTGGTGTGAGATGTAAGCCTTGTTGAATGGATTGCAAACCGTGATCATAGTGCTATCAAACATAACATCTGTAAGTGCAAAGAAAATTCAATACAGACACTTTTAATTTCAGAAGAGGAAACTTAACAAACTTACCAGTGAATAGGTCTTAGCAGCAGTGAACATCACCACATCTTGTGGCAATGAATTCCGTATGTTAATTCCATTCGTTAATTTTGGATTCGGTTGAAAAGGTCATACCATCTTTTTGTAGCAGTTTATGCTGGTGAAATATAACAGGAGTTTTGAACCTTTTAAAATTATTCTACAAAGTATCATTTTACACTCTGTAAGAAATGCCATTACGAATTGTCAGCATACAGTTCTATATAGACTCTAGTGTTCAGTACTGAGATTCATTCACATGGGCAGAAAAGAGGAAAGTCATATGTGACTTCCACACTGGTGCAGCTTTCTGCATACTTGGTATAAATAAATGTAGAGTATTTGATTGTTCCCAGGGCACTATGCCACTGCTAATAAATGTGGTACAAAGAAAGAATCCTTTCATATAAATTAATTGATAAAACAAATGAGGGCAGCGTCTCCATAAACCAAGGAAGATAATGAAACTAGGGTCCTGAGATGAAACAGAAACTCTTTCTGGTGATGAAGCTGATCACAAAATGTAACTTGATTTAAGGAAACTGCTTCACAACTGAACACGAAAACTTGGTTCTGTATTGTGAACAACTGGAAAGTAAATTATGTTTCCTACTTTGAATAATGCCAGTGCTGTTTCTTTGTTGTGTAGAGTCCAAGCAGGAAAATTGCTGCCTTGCTAGAAAATATATGAAATATATGAAAATAACATTACTTGAGTGGCATGGAGAAGAGACATGCATTGAGGATCTTGCAGCTGGTTGGTATGGCTACAGTATGTGTAAGGAGTACCATCCATTGTGGAGAAGATGTAAAGCCAGGCAGGATGAATAAAGCCAAGGATGGCATTATTTCAAAGAGCTACACAATGATGTGTAGGGAGGTGGTAGAAATGGAGCCTAGCCTGCCATGAAGTAGCTGTCTTACACATGGATCTGGTTGAAGGGAGTGTTCTGATGATGACACATGGTGTAGTTTTACTTTGAATATAAATAAGGCTGACACTATAAAATGGGCTGGATGGGTCATGGGCAAGATTTGAAATATAAGCAGTGGATTACTGAAAGAACTAATAAAAGTGAAGTTCAGATAATAAAACACATGTAAAACAGCTAATAAAAAGTACAGTAACAAAAAACAAACACCCGGAAAGGAGGGGTGGGAAGAAGAAATTTATGTTGAAAAATGTATATGAACATAAGGGACCTCTGAACTAATTTTGATTGTCAAATCTGTCCCCTGTGCAGTTCACTTACTGGCTCTATTCTGTTCCACAAGAGCTCCAGCAAATATCATGTACAGCCACATGTTACTGGTAGTGCTTGTGATTTCACAACTAAAAAATCCTGTAAAATGTTTGGTGATGAGATTATCATAGGACTGATGTGCAGGGTTTTTGAACCAATGTTACTGTAGTAGCTGAGATTTTTATTGTATTTTTATTGTATCATATTTTTAGGAAGGAAACAGCTGGTTCCAATTAACTGCTGATACACGCCTCCAGAAAGTGTGCCCCTAATAAAACATGACTATCAAGAAATCATGTTCTTTTACATTAGACCCAGTTCCTCCAGAAATACTTAAAGGCATGTTACAATATAAAAGCAGAAAACATTTTTAAATCCAGACCCAAATATGACACTTAAAAGCAAACAATAAAACCCAGGAACTGCACAGCAGTTGCAGAAGAGCAATAAAAAATAGCAGCAATATTTGCACAACCATTATATTTTAATGATTTGATTTTACTCCTAAACAATGCTGCTATGTTTTGTTTGTTTTTCAGTTTTCTATTCTTAGGAATGTTAAACTCTAAGGGTGGTATTCTCCACAATTCTCCACACTATGTGTACTCTTACACAAGTAGATAGTGTATTTTTTCATATAAGCCCCACAGGAAAAGGGTTTGTAGCAGCTATGTACAAAGCCTTTGTCAATATTACTTTTCGGAAATTGACCAGTTTAAAATCTACATAGAAGATGGTTGGGGGCGGGGAGTATTGATGAAGAAAAATGGGAATGGCTATGGAGAGTGAGTCTTTTTAAAACTAGTGAATTGGTTTTAAAAATGCACCATAGATGATATTATTCTTCTATAATGCTTTGCCACTTTACTTCCAGATCCTTTCCTTTATGCTGGAGGAGATGCGGGAACAAGGGTTGGGGTACCTTTTTCCATTTGTGGTGGGAGTGCCCGCTGGTGGTGCAATTTTGGTTAATGAGCTTTGCAGAAAAAAGTAAGATCATCAGGGACCAGATTCAGTTATCATAAGAACATGGTTTTTCTTTATTTACTCAAGGGAGTAAATGAAGAATTTAAAGCAAAATATCTGTTAATAGTTTTATTAATAGCTGTTCATCATACAAAGTTCAAAAATGGAATACTTTATCTGATATCAACAATATGAACAGATGGAACAATGTATGGAATTTAGCCCTTCAAGAAAAACTTATACAATAATCTTGATTGTCATTGTCCCATACAGAACAACGAAATTGAAAAAAATCTACATCAGACATTAAAAACCCCACAAGCCTGCTATCCCAGCTATCCCAACCTGGTTAGCCCCTAAAAACTCTGATACCCCATAATTGAATACAATATACTCACATAAAGACTACCTTTATGTAGTTACATTACAAGCTCATAACAATGAGCACTGAACAATATAAACATTTAAACCTCATGAAACCATAAAAGCTGACTAGGTCATTCTTAGCAAACTAACTGAAATCAATGGAGTTATGTTAGTCATGGCTAATTTAAGCCTACTGATTTCAGTAGGTATAATCTGAGTATGACTTAGTTGGATACCATCCATAGAAAGCCAGTGTTGTGTAGCAAAAGTCAAAATAAGCTAAAACACATTAGATATTCCCTATATTGGGTGACATAAGCAAGTTTAATGTTTTAGGGATGCTTCCAGAAGCAGCAGCTGCATACTCAGTAGTTTATTATATTGGTGTCTTTGTGGCTTCAATTCAGCCAGTGTTTCTGGCATTCCCTGGCTTCAGGTGTAATGCATATGAGAACACTGAAGAGGATGTTTAGCAGATACTGACGACCCCTTCTGTTGTAATGTTTCACTCTTCCATATTCCTTTGTTTTCATTCTGCATTCTTAATTCCCATGATAAGAGATAAGAGGTGGCTGTCCTACATGTAAGCTGAGTTCCTTGTTTCTTTTTCTTTTGACCGTTCCTGGCTGCATGTTCTCTGTTGATGTCTTGTTCCTGGTACTTGACCATCTTGTCTGTGAAAGAAAACACTCCAGCTGGCTTGCCTGATAAGAAGAAAGGAAAGTTTGCTTGGTTTAGTCACTCCACAGAAACTCATGGTAACGTTCCAATGTACTCTGTGTCCATCCTTTATGTGTACGTGTATGTTTCTGTGTAGTAACTGTGTAGTCCGTTGGTGCATGTCTGTGTCTTTCTATAGCTTCTGCAGCATTGTGCACTTGTGTATAAGGTGGTAACTACTTTTTGGATCAACCTTTTCTTCCTGATGTCATCAGAATTGTATCCCATGCTGCCGCCAAGAGCTCCATCTAATGTCTTACATCCCCAAATAATTTCATTTTGTGTCCCTGGAACAACCATGTGATAAAATGCTAACCTGAGAATATTTTTCTTTGATTGCTTCTCCCACAGCAAGTGAATATTTCATTATTCCTTAGGTGACTTATTTGAGCAGACAGGTAAAATAAACTTATTGGAAGGTATTGGAATAGGGAGTTAATAGCAAGCTATGATGTTCTAGATGTTTAATTTTTTCTAAAAAGAAGATTGTACAAAATAATATTAAGTATAAAAAGAGAAGGCACTATTATCAATTTTGTTGGAGGAGTAAAGGCTGTTGATATATAATTCACCAAGCTTTGCTGCTATATAACCTACATTCAGTTTTATAGGATTCACCCTCCTACTCCCAGGTAGTTCCATGGTTGTTGCACAGCCTACACTCTTTAGGCTCAACCACACTACGTTTGTGCTGTGATTTCTAGTCATAATTCCAATAAGTTCCCTTTTTCCTTTTTTCCCTTTTGTCCTTTCCCTGGGAAAACCTGTGGTTTACTGCTGAACTGGGGTAAATGTTGATTGGCTTTTCTGCAGATTCAGCAGTAAACATTGGCTTTTCCTAGGGAAAGTGGAAGGACAAAAAAAGAACCTCTTGGACTCATGACTTGTAATCACAAACAGAAGTATAGATGAGCCCTGTTTACATTTACACAGGTAGACATACTGTTTTTAAAAGCTGAATATCTTACCATGTGTTGCTGGCGGGGTGGGGTGGGACTTATATCATTTTAACCACAAAGAAGATTATTGCATTCAGCTAATTAAAGTCATTAATATATTTTTATACAGTCTCTTATTAAATAATTTCTGACTGCCATCAAAAGAAAACAATAGAACCTGATGAATGGACACAAAACATTTTGATTATGTTTTTGTTTTTGACAGTCTTCTTCGAAAGTGGTAGATAAAAATGTTTCAAAATATTTTCAGCGTACTGACATTCTTTAAAAAAAGTTTTGAAGGAAATATCAGACTTTCTAAAGCCCAACTTTTCAGTTGGACCAGAAACAAAAGGTGACAGCTCTACTTTTCTCCCTGTTGTGCAAGAAGGTGATTGTGTGGATGAATTATTAGAATAAAATAATGTTTGGTGACATCTTGGATATCTTTCAAGAATACAGGGCATGCCATAAAACCTCATAAAGTTGTATAAAGTTCTGTGGTCTGAGGGGCTGCCAAATCATCTGTCCAAACACATTGTGTCACCCCTGAGTAGTATAGATAGTATAGTAGTATAGTATAGATAGCATAGTAGTATAGTTCATTCTGGGTACTTTATTTGGAGAGCAGAAAAATATTAGGTGAGAAAATTGCAGCACTATGGATATAGATTGAATATGGTTAATTGAAATGGTGGAAGATTCAGGACAGACAGGAGTAAGTAAGCACTTTCTCACACAGCACACAGTTAAAACTATGAGATTTGCTATCACAAGATGACCGTCAACCTGGACAGCTCTTGAAAGGAATTAGACAAATCCATGGAGGATAATGTTATCAATGATTACAAAGCAATGATAGCTATATTACCTCCAGTATCAGAGGAAGTGTTCTCTGAATACCAGTTGCTGTGAATCAGGAATGGGAGTGCTTTTGCACTAGGCATCAGGTTGGCCACAGTGAGAAAGAATGCGGAATAATATAGGCCTTTGGGCTTATCCATAAGGGCTCCTCTTATTATCTTATAAGGTGGGGGAGGGGTTATTGGGTTGTTGCTGCTTTTATTTTGAGTATGTATTTTGAGGTTTTATATTTTGATTTTATTCTGTGAACCACCCTGAGACCTGCAGATATAGGGTGGTATATAAATTCAATAAATAAATAAATAAATTCTTATCCTGTTCTATGACCAGTGCTGGATGACACATTGTATGCATCCTTCCAGCAACTCCTACAGCCAAGCTGGTGCCAAATGTATTTCTCTGCTTTCCTTTGGACCATATCAATGAGACTGAGAGGGAATATTGTTGTTTGGACAGGCCAGGACCTGTGACAATCCGGGGAGGTCACTTCAGTGCTGCTAATGCAGCTGTTTGGACCCCAGAGGCACACTTCATTGTCTCTCGAGACAGATGCCAACATTTGCTTAGGATGTTTACGATTATTTATTTATTTATTAGATTTCTATACTGCCCTTCATCCAAGGATCACAGGGTGGTTTGCAATATAAAAGCACAAAATACATACTATAGTAAACAAAAACAGTAAACCCCCTTCCCCCGCAGCTTAAAAGGCCATAGATTGCTTTATTATCCAAAGATCTAGGAGATAATATGCATAATAACAGTTAAATTTATGCTATGCTGGCTACCTAAGTGCTCTACTAAAGTCTGTAATTTTCATCAGGACCCATATTTTTAATTAAGCAAGGGCTTAAGGGCAACCACATTTTTTTGGCACTTACACAAGTCGAAATATTATGGGCTAACGGCTCGTTACTGCTCTCTTTCCTGGTTTGGTTTAAAGAGCCCATTGCCTGTACCTTATGACTAGTGTGGGAGAGCTGCATCATGGAATAAGTAGATTTTTGTGTCTATGGGGAAGATGCTAGGCTCTAGTGGCTGAATCACCCCTCAGAACCAGTAGTCATTCCTTACTGTAGAAAGACAGTATTAAAGATTTTGTGCTTCTAAGTCATTTAAAAGAGCAAATAAAAAGACCTGCCATGGACAAACAATTGGTTGTAAAGGTCACAGATCCATGACAAGCTCACTATTCTGAAAGATAAAATAATATGGAGTAATGCCTTGATATCATAATTCTGCTTTAACATTATTTCTGTACTTCATAATCTTTCACATATATAATTTATCTTTCAAAATATATTCAAGTGACCTACAGAAGTTCACTTCCCTGCAGGTATCTTGAGGATTCTGCGAATACCCTCTGCAGCCTCCACATCAGGATGTTGTGTTTCATTAAGTCTTCTATTCAAGTTATACAGGGCCTAGAAATGCACCAAATAGCCTATTGTGAAACATTCACAATTGTCTTCTAGAAAAGTATTTGTGGGACTCATATCATTCAACTTTATTATGTTAACTCATCTGAATTGTTCATAGTGTTAAGAAGCCTTAAGATTCAGAATGATGACACACTGATGTGGAGTGTAGGAGAAAACATTACTTCTGCTTAGCTTCTTAACTGTCCTCTTTTGATGTATTAGAAATAATCAGTGGCCGTCAGCCTCTTAAATTTCATGTATGTTTTACACTCCCAAACTTATGTAACTGTAATGTATAGAGAACAAATCTTGTGTTATAGCACTTGCTAATGGGTTACTCCCTGACCTGAGGTGGGTTGCAAAATGAGCAAGAAACAGCTTGTGTAAGTGAACTCATTCATACAATCCTTCCAGAATATAGTTTCATTTCAACCTGTGTTAAAATGGGTGTATGGTGAAATGGTCAACTTTTTCTTCTCTATGCATATAAATTACACGCAAACTTTGTGACAAACTCAAAAGGGGAAGAAACCTCACTGGCTTATCACTGGCTGACTAGTGACTATCCAGGTAGTGGGTTGATTCATAATGTGTGTACAACCATGTTTACCTGCATCCTAGCTTCTCAAGACTATTGTATGAATCTACTCTAAATCTCCTTTTTCACATTTGTGCTCTGCACCTAGATGACATGCTTTGGATGTTACCTGCCCTGTCCAAATCATCAAGTGTTGAATAGAAGCAAAAGCTTTATACTGTATTTACGTTCTGTCTATATTTAGGGTGAATTGCTTGAGCCATAAGTGTGATTGTTTTACAAAATGCCCAGCGTGTAAGGCAACCACAAAGCTTCCATAGAGGGTAGAGTGATAGTATGGTACATGTTGACTAAATTACCCAATGAAACAATAATATAACTTGCTATTCCACATGCAAAGCAATGTGTGCATTTATTTAACTAACATCTCAGTATGCCAGGATGGTTGTGTGGATTGTTCCTAATTTTGCATCCTAGAATGTTAGGACAACATTGCCCTAGAGCTCTAGCATTGTAGTTATTCACAATCACTTTTTAATTACCTTGTCTCTGGCTTTTCCTCAACACAGCTCTTTCGTTTTTTGCTCATTTCCTGCCCATAAAGCATATTCCTGTTTGGACTGTGCACTGTTCTTTAAATCAGGATTTTAAAAAATAAAAATAAAAAGCTTGTATATGGAAAGACAGTTGTGCACAAAAACAGACCAAGGAAAGCAGAATGGGGGTGTGTCTGTGTGACTTTATTTTGTGGAAGTTTAAAGTTTAGGGGGCTGTGCCAGATGGAAATGTCAATAAGAGGTATCTTTGTGGGATGTAAAAATTGTTCAGGAAATTTGTATCACATTGTTTGAAACAAACAGGTTAAACTTCAGGAAAATGTTATCTTAGGGCTTTTCCTCTGGTCACAATTCATTTTCCTTATTAATTTATGCTTTTTTGCTAAGCAAGCACCTTCACTGCCAGGAACTGCACATTTGTGTATTGCAGACCAATTACTGACCTTCTATTTTCATTCCTCTGATCCATGTAGTGAGCATGCCCACCAGTGAGACAGAATCTGTGAACACTGACAATGTGGCTGGAGGAGATATTGAAGGAGAAAACTGTGGAGCACGGCTGGCGTGAGTTAAACCATGTTTATGCTTGTGTCTTCCTTATTCCACCATGGAGTCTGACGGATAGTTAAAGAGTAAACCTTAAAGACTTTCTTCAGAATTTGCATTGCCAGAGACTCATTCTTCTTAAATTAGAATGAGAGAACATTTTGAATTAGATATTCCCTTCCAGGTCCTGGTCCAGCATTCTAATCACTGTGTCACACTGTGGTGTTCTGGAATTAGATATTCCCTTGTTCTAGAACTTCAGAGCTTCCCATAGAACATTATTTGTGTCACAAAATAGCTGCTACTTTGCAGAGAACAGAGTCCAACTTTCATTGTCTTCCATTTATACTTGTTTTTTATTTGAAATACATAAATATGGACTCTGAGAAGAGCTGTGTGAGATTATGGCTTCTGAGAGTGCTTTTCCTGTGATAAATTTCCCACACAGCTCACTCTGCAGGGTGCTTTCAAGACGCCTTTCAGATTGCTTTTGACACTGTAGGAAAAATTAAAAGGACACTGAATGCCAAGCCTCACTTTTCTGTCCCACGTCCCATAGTGTCTTTTATTGAGCAATGTAAAATTCAAACAATGGTGGCACCAGAACAGTATATTTGGGTCAATGAAGGGGCAAGGTGTGGTTTGGGATGAGGGGACAGGCTATTATAATAATAATGTAATAATAATAATTTATTATTTATACCCCGCCCATCTGGCCGGGCCTCCCCAGCCACTCTGGGCGGCTTCCAACAAAATATTAAAATACAGTAATGCATCAAACATTAAAAGCTTCCCTAAACAGGGCTGCCTTCAGATGTCTTCTAAAAGTCTATGTCTCATGTCTAATATTTCTGGAAGAAAAATAATGGTATATTTCATATTAAATATATAAGTGTGAGCTGTTTGTCTGAAGGGTGCTTGCCCCCGCTCCCATTTCCTTTCTGGCACTGCCTATGGGCATGAAAGGAAGTGTGTTATTTTGAAGTCTGCACCATGTTTTCTGTTAGCTCTAGCATACCAAAATGAAGAGCAGTTCAAAAGCAGGTTATTGACTCTCCACGGGTATCCTCCAGATGAGGGTATTTTGTTTGATAAGTCGTCTATACAAGTTACACAGGAGACTTGGGCAAGGTGTAAAAGGAGGAGGGTTTAGTTAGGTATAAAGGAAGCAGGTTTGGCAATGTGGTGTTGGCAGGGCGGTAGTGGGTTGGTGAGCAAAGCAAACAGGGACACCAGCCCCTAGTATTGATATTTGTGGTGGCTAAGGGAGGTCCTGAAAACTCAATATTTTCCATGAGTTTGCCCTAAATATATCACCAGAAGGGACTTCTGCCATCAAGAACATGGCCCAGAATCCTCTCTCTCCTAGGTTCATTTCCAAACAAGTTTTGGTGACTCAATTCTGCTGTTGTGTTAAATCCCATGACAACAGCAAAACTAAACAAAGAACGTAATTTTTGGGGTCATTTTAGAATTACTTTTTGTTGCCTTAAGATCCATGACGTTGACAGGAAGAGTTGAGCAGTGGAGGAAATATGTCTTCATCATATCTTTGTAAGAATTGTTTGGGGGAAATTAGGCTATCTTCTGAAAAGTATGGACACTCTCTATGGAAATATTCAATGTATGAGCTCAGGATTACTTTTTGCAGTAACAAGTAGCTTCCTATATGTAAATAAATATATAATTGAATATTTGCTTCTGTAGTGCCCCCGCTGTCTGTACAGGCCTGCCCTCTAGCACATAGTATTCAAGGACATACTGCTTCTGACCCTGTAGTTCCTACAGAACCATCATGACTAAAATACCTTGAAGGACTATATCTTCCATGAATTTGTCTAATCTCCCTTTAATGTAATCTACATAGTAGTAAATTCAGTAAATTAACCATCTGTTGTGTGAATAAATACCTTCAAAGAGAATCAGTAGGATTGTTAGTTTGAGGTAGAATGTAGGTCTATGAAAATGCTGAATAACAAAAAATGGTGTGAATTTCCATCACTGTTGTTTTGAGAGATCTTAGCTGTCTCCAATAGTTTTTAAAGTCATTTCAGCTAGAAAAGCACACACGCTTTCTGTCACACACATACACAAAATTTTGGATGTTATTAGGTAACCTGTTGGCATGGTAGAGATGCTTAACTGCAGCGTCTAATGCACTAGAGATACAATTATCACATGCATGATGTGTGGAAGAACTGCCACATCTGTTAGCTTAATTAAATAAAATGTTATTCAAAATGCCACTCAGCCCCTTTGGTAAAAAGTAAAGAGATAACATTGAATTTACCCAGTGGGATTATGAGCAATTTTAAATTCATTTTCCCAGTGAGGGCCAGTTTAACATTTTAAGGTGTCCCTAAGCACTGATAATTTGCAGACCCATTAATGTTCATTGTTGATCTGCCCCCTGTTGCAGTGCAAGGATACCAAGTGGAACCCTTGCTCCAGTTAAACAAACCTACTTTTTTACTTTTATTTATCTTCTGCACAGTCAGTTCAACAGTTAAAACAACTTTCCATTTCCTCCAGAGACATTAACATATCAGGTGTAATATTCAGAATACAGTCCAGTTAACTAAACCACATAATAATAATAATAATAATAATAATAATAATAATAATAAATTATTATTATTAACCTCCCCCCCACCCACCAAAGTATAGTATGGTTATTTCTTGAGGTGGTAGAAGTATGGCTTTTCTTAACTGTGTTGTAAGGAATAGCCAGTGAAAACAGGGATCCCTAAAATTAAATTCAAGGATGAATCTAACATTGATTCTGCTTCTCAGTGTTTTGCTCCTAACTGCCTTTCTCCCTAGACAATTGTTCCATTTTCTTCCTTTGTTAACTTTTCTCTTTGACCTCTTTTCTTCCTACTCCCCAGTTTTCCCTCTGTAAAGGCTGTAATATGTTGCTTTTTCACAATCCTGAGATCTTTTTCTTTTGTTTTCTTATCCCCCCAAATCAGAAACATTTTGACCTTTGTGATGTCTGACAAACATTTTAAAACAAATGGGAGTTTCTACTAAAGTTATTGTTCCATCTCCACACCTTTTCTGTTTCCCATCCATATACTTACAGATCTAACAATACACCAACACTGCCCTGTTCCCTCATCATCACCCTGTTCCCTTCCCAAAATTATTAAGTATTAAACAACAACAAATTGAGTAAATCAATTATCTTTTTTATGGTAATTATCTCTACTCCATCATTTTATTTATTCATTACATTTACATCTCATACTTCATTCAAGAAGCATACATATACAGTGGTACCTCGGGTTACATACGCTTCAGGTTACAGACGCTTCAGGTTACAGACTCCGCTAACCCAGAAATAGTATCTCGGATTAAGAACTTTGCTTCAGGATAAGAACAGAAATCGGGCTCCAGCAGCACGGCGGCAGCGGGAGGCCCCATTAGCTAAAGTGGTGCTTCATGTTAAGAAGAGTTTCAGGTTAAGAATGGACCTCCAGAATGAATTAAGTTCTTAACCAGAGGTACCACTGTACCTCCTCCCACTACCACCCTCATTTTATCATCACAGCACCTCAGTGGATAGATTAGGTTGGGCCAAGAGTTAGTGCTTGGCCCAAGGTCATCTTTTAAGCATCATGAATATAGTGGAAATGTATCTACTCATGTATCTACTCTGAACTTAACCCAAATATAAACTTAAGTAACTAAAATAACCTAGCAGTTCAAAAGCACGTCAAAGTGCAAATAGATAAATAGGTACCACTACGGCGGGAAGGGAAATGGCATTTCTGTGTGCTGGTCTGGTTCGCCAGAAGCGGCTTAGTCAGGCTGGCCACATGACCCGGAAGCTGTACGCCGGCTCCCTCAGCCAGTAAAGTGAGATGAGCGCCACAACCCCAGAGTCGTCCATGGCTGGACCTAACAGTCAGGGGTCCCTTTACCTTTTTAACTAAAGTAACTCTTAAGTTCAAAGTTAATTCCAAGTCTGCAAGTCAGAAGAAAGCTTAGCCAAGTGGTTACTTGGATCCCTTAGTTCCAGCAAATAATGAGAAATGAATAAGCAAAGGTGAATATTAAGCAAAAATGAATAATTTTGTACTTTGGTTCTAGTTAGAGATGGGACCACCATAGTGGGATGATAACCGTATTAACCAATCAGTGGTGAGATGTGCACCTCTCCCAATTTGCTTCACATTTTGTTTTGGAAACATCTAACTTCTATCCTCGTACACTCCCTTTGTTCCTCAAATGTTGTGCATGTTATCTGGCTGCTAGGTTTTTTCTTGGTGCATCTTTGAGCTTCTGTGCTATTGTCAAGATTATTCGCATCATGTTCATAGCATTGTTATAGGTTCACCAGCCCTGGCACTGTCAAGCAAGAACATTTTTGTACCCATTTGCAATGCAAGTGCCATCATTGCACAAGAGGCAACAGGTTGCACTCCTGTTCTAATCCCACTGTCGTCATCATCATCATCATTTTTTATTTGTATGCTGCCTTTCCAGAGTTAAAAAACAATCCTCAAGGCGGCTTACAGCATAACAAGATTTACATAATTACAAAAGTCATAAACAAATAAACCACATCAAAAAAAATACACAACCAAATGGGAAAAAATTTCCACATAAATCAAAATCTAAAACTAAGAATACAGCATTATATCACAGTTTAAAATGACAAAGGTAAAAAATACCAGCAATTTAAACAAACAAAAACAAAACAAAACGGAGCCCGCTCTGCCTAGCAGCGGCAGCGGCAGCAGTCCTTTATAGAGCCCATCAGGCCTCGCCCTGGGCCAGATGGTGAGTGGCAGGACCGGGGCCCTCAGGTGCTGAGCAGGGGAGTCCTCCTGGGTGGCAGCTATCTGCCCATGTATTACTTATAACACTACAAAAGAGAGGTGCACTCTGTTTGGAGCATCTTTTGCTGATATCTTCCTATCTCTTAAATATTTTCTTCATGTGGAAACAGATAAGAATGGTTGTCTACATGGGGACAAGAACATTTTGCAGCACGATTTGGGACAGCATTATTATTATTACTACCACCCCACCCATCTGGCTGGGTTCCCCCAGCCGCTCTGGGGAACTAGGTTGTATAGTTGCTGTTTGCTGTTTGCCACATTGGTATAGATGTGGCTGTTTGCCACATCTATACCAATGATATAAATTGGTGTCTTTTTCAAGCGAGTTTAAGACTGATATTAACTGTTATAAGATATATGTTACCTTCTTAGCACTGTCTGCATGACTATTGGCCACAAGATGCCTATTTGAAAATCCTGCCCATGCTGTCGCTGATGCCAGCTGGATGCATGTAGCTGCCACTGTCTGGAAGTCTGGCAAAGAGTTTAATGCCATGTATACTAGCAGTTCCACTTATCTTGCTGGCCACAGGAAAAAACCTTGCTTTAAGAAGATTTATAAGCAGTTTTCACAGTGATCATATGAATCAGTTTCTAGACTAGAAACTAGGGCAGGGTATAAATAAAAATTATTATTATTATTATTATTAGACTGAGCCTTAAAGGAACTAAATCTATGCAATTCAGGAAGAACCTATTAATTACTCAATGGACAGGCTCCTTGAAAAAAGGGGTGGTGGCAGTGGGGCATGGTGCTTTTGGAATCTTAGCCCTTAAATAAGCCATCAGTCATATCTATCTGATTCCTACCACCATCACATTTATACCCCTTCCCCCATGTTTGGCTATAATGGACAGCAGATAAGCCTTCAACAGTTCCTTCCCACTAGATTGTGGATATAATCCTCAAAACATTTAGAATGACGCAGTTTAGGTGGTTTGCTGCTATATATCATCATCCTGTATTGATTTTTGGCCTCAATGACAAAAATAAATTAAAATCTGTATAGAATCTGCAACTATTTCTTATTTTGTTCTTTCTCTTTGCATGGAAATTAAGAGAACAGATCATATGCTTAAGATACAGTTAATTTTTTTCCTCTCTTTCAGGCACCGGATATCTAAATCTAAGTTTAGGTAAGCACTGCAACAGCTTTTTTAAAAAAACAAAAAACAAACAAAAAACAAAACAAAACCACCCCATCTTTTCTGAAGCTTTGAATGAACATTCCATCTATCTTCTTGTTGCTCCTGTTGTAACTAGTAATGGCAATGATATAGTGCCAGCTAAAGATTTTGATTAGTAGGCTGCTGAGTTACTTCCTTTACCACTCTGATGAAGAGGAAATCTAATTAAGATTGGAGTGGTTAACAAGACTAGCTTCCACATTGGCGCCCCTATGGCTGTTGAAGCCATGATGAAGTGAAAACCCATTAAGAAAGAAAAGGAAGTAAGTAATTAGAGGAGACTAAGAGTCAGGGCAATAGGTACAAGAGGCCTGTATGGGGCTGGTCTCCCAGGGCTTCTCCAGGCCGTTCCTTGACTATGCAGCTTTCACTGAAAAGGTAGTTCTTCAGTGATTTGCTGCTCCCTCATGAGAACTTCTGAGTGTGTTGTGAGTAGGTGTCAAATGTGTTCATATATTTAGTAATGTCATAAGGCAACCTTCCCCAATCTTATTGTTGTACTACAAACCCCCATTGTCCCTAATAATTGGCCATGTTGGCTAGGAATTGGGTGGGTAGGGGCAAGATTGGAGAAGTCTGCCATAAGATGTTCTTTAATAAGAATTGTAGAGGAGCACCTGTTTGTCTCATAAAGTGTTGCCGTAAGATTCACATGTGTTTATAACATGTTATTTTACTGGTTGCTGATTTATAATGTATTTTGTGCTTATCCATAGCAAGAGATTGAGAGAGATAGGCATGGCCAAGGAAGATGCACATGCCACTTTATATGAGCTTTAAACACACAAACCCAAACCCGTTGCCTTTATTATCCAGGAGCCAAGTGTTGCTTAGAAACTGGTTGCTAGGCAAGCTAAATTGTGAAGAGTAGGGGCTGTATAATTAGCTTTAAATACTTGGTGTGGTTAGTAATTACTCCCAGAAATCACTGTGACACTCGTGAGGGGCTGCGTGTTCCAGGAAACATAACATAGCATTGTACTAACGCTCTGTCTCAGCAAATAGTAGCCCTAGCTTTGGGTTCAAAGGACAAAACGCTAGACCTTACTAACACAGTTTCTGAAAATAATTCTGGGCAAGGCAGTTTCTGTTGTTGTTGGGATCTTGATGGCTGTTAACCTTTGCTATGAAATTCTGAATAGTTACAATTTATATTAGAGAGACAGGAAAGGGACAACTTTTCCATTGACTTCTATAGGCAAATATTATGCCAGTAGTTATTTGGTAATTGAGAGATTAATGTTGTATATAAAACAGCCAGGGGAACATCTGTAGCTGCTGGTAGATGGAGCATCCTAGCCACCAACACTGACTACCCACTTTGGGGTGTTTAGAGCTCATCTTCATAAATTGGTTTCAAACTGAACAGCAGAGGTTGAACTTGGTGTTTGGGTCAGTGGCTTTGTGTGGTCTTGACTTCCATACGAAGAGAAAGCAAAATAGGAAGCAATAAACAGCTCCTTTTACCTTTATCCAAGAGAATATTCTTTTTTAGATTTGGGCCCAAGCTACTGCTGATTAAAAGGGGTATGTGTGTGTGCAACTGCAGTAAAGAATTTTCATCCCTTTGCATCCCTATGTAAGTGTCCATTTTGTATAAAATCTTGCTATTCACAACTAGTAAAATGAAATTTAAAGCAAGAATGAAAACAGAGCTTGCACTATGATTTGTAGCTTGCTACAAATGTGTGCACATTGTGCCATGAAGTCAGTGCAACACAGGCTGGGCTATTCAAGAGACATAGTCTGCCTGCTTTCATAAGCAGTCCATGCCCAAGAGGGCCTCTTGTAGGAATACTATCAAGGCTCCGTAGGCTTCACTGGACCACTGGACAACTATACTGAACAATGTGCAAATATGTTGTCTTTTGCTTCTTTCATTCCATATCCAGGCAAACATAGAAAACACTCCTCTAGGAAGCTAGGCCAGTAAATACAAATTAATAATTGGAGGTCAAAGGTGACCTCATAGGGTTTTGTAAACAACTTGTTTGGTGCACAGAGCAATCATAATTACAGGTTTCTTTTCATTTTTCAAGCCGCTACTGGCGTAGATGGAATCGGTTCTGCAGACGGAAATGTCGAGCTGCTGTCAAATCCAATGTGTTCTACTGGCTCGTGATCTTCCTTGTGTTTCTTAACACCCTCACAATTGCCTCTGAACATTATAACCAGTCAGATTGGCTCACTGAAGTCCAAGGTATGGAGGATTCTGTTTTGTTAAAATAATGCTGTGTTTTATTTATGAGAATGTACAGTACATAATATTATAGTTAATTGAAATTTTATTTATGTGTGCAGATAAACTGAACTTAGTGTTCAAAAAGTAAAACCATTTAATTGCATAAGCAGCACCGCTACCCCAGAGTCGGCCATGACTGGACCTAAAGGTCAGGGGTCCCTTTACCTTTACCTTTTTACCAGGGAAAAATACAAAATATTAAAAACTACCTTCTCAAAATATTCTCTGTTCTGCTCCATGGTTCTTATGCTTATTTTCTGGCCAGCTAGCACAGGGAAGGGAGAATATGAACAGGCACTAAGGTGCCACTATATTCAGCCCCATGTTCCAAGAGCATAATAGTATAATTAATCCATTAAATTAATTGAATAATCAGGTCCCCAGTGCTCTGTGCAACAATACAAACAAAAGAGGCAGACTATGTTGAAACATCACAACTATGTAATACAGGGATGGGGAACCTCTGACCTTTGGGCTTCATGTCACCTCAGAGGCTTCCCATAAGGCCTCCAGGGCTCTTGCTGCTTGAACCATCTCCCTGATTCTGCACTTATCTCCTGATTGTGACAGGAGAGGGGAAAGCAGCAAATTGCAGGTGCTGGGTGCCTGATCTGGATGGGTGTCTGGTATGAGAGTAAAGAGACTTTAACCCTTTTCCCCTAACTGTGGTCTCTGATCTAGGTCAGGCCCTTGTGCCTGTAATTTTCATTGCCCAAAATGATCTGTTAAAAGTCATGTTAAAAGCTATTTGCATTTGGGAGGGAAACAACTACTGTTTCCAGTGAGTGGTTTTTCACCAGTGGAAATTTCAATGGGGTGTGGGTGGGTGGGAGGGTGGGTGTATAAGAGAATGTGGGGTATTGGAATGCAGCCTTGCGGGGGGGGGGTCCCCATCCCTTTTGTAAAGTCTTCTTGCATGTATATGCAGTTGCCCAACCTGGTTGCCTGATACCTTCTCCTTTTCACACAGACTTGTGTGCAAAGAAACCCCTGTGTATTTATTATGCATGTCCCGAGTGTTGTACAGGTTCTGGGGCATGTTTTAGAGTGCTCATTCTGTTCTCATGCAACATGTCCAGGAATCTTTGGCCTCATTGTCACACTATTCAAACTGAGCATGCACTCTACAAGACATCCAAAATTCCCACATGGGTGCACGTTACAGAAACTTGTAGTGATGGACTAGCTGTATTTCAGGGAAGCTCATCTGCCATTGCTGAACTTCTCCATTGAGAAATCCCTGATAAGCTTCCAAAGAATCACAGGATTCCTCAGAATGTAGTTTAAAAGCCATTTTTCTAGAATAAAGGACAGTCATAGCTATCTAGTAATTCTGACTGATGTACACAACACTGTGGGATAAATCTGGAGTGACTTTTCAGAGTTATATAAGTTCTGTTGCAGAGCAATCCCAACTGGGGGGCAGGGAGTTAGTTGCAGAGTGGTGGAGCCTCTGCCATGTGTAAGGCCCTGCTAGCTACTGCCAAGAAGGAAGGAGTGCGGTCTCCCCCACCCCCCATTTTTGCTGCAGCAGCTCCAGGGCTGGTGCAGTAGAGGAACCCAAGGATTGGGCTCTCAAGATCTTTGGGGTTTTTTCTGCCTCACTTTGCCAGTGGGAGGTTACTACCCACCTGGATATAGCTGCAGTGTCTGCCACTGCAGAATCTTCCCAATACCAGCATGCCTCTCTACCAGTGAACACGTGAGAATATATGCCATCCTAAACCCTTCAGGAACAGAGAGTGTTGGGTTTGCAACCTTAGTCATTTGCAACATATTTTAAGGGGGAAAACTTATTGTTTTGAGCTAATTTATAATGTGGCATTTAGCAGGACCAGCATCAGATGTGTGGTAGAATTCAGCCGCTGAATTTTTCTGAGTTATCAGAAAAGGGAAACAAGAATAGAGATTAAACAAAATTATACTAAAATTCAAATATTGAGTTTGGACATCAAGGGTTCTGTTCTGTTCAGATTTAGACCCACTGAAATTAATGGGCCTAAGCTAGTCATATCCATTAATTTCTATGGGTGTGCCCTCTGTCTAACTAACATTGGCTACAACCCTAGGATTTGTTATCCACATTTGAAAAGTTGTCCAAAATGTCTGTAAAAACAAAACACAGGTTAAAAGTTCACAGTAATGAATTGCTGAAGACAACAGTTGCAAGGGATAAAACCTAATTTGAAGATTTCTGCTCTTCTTACAGTCTTTCTGTTATATTTGTCTTTTAGTGCCACTATAATGATCATTATTTGTCTATTTATTTTTATGAGACACTGCCAATAAGGTACTGTTGGCTCTTTTCACGGCTGAGATGCTCCTGAAGATGTACAGCCTGGGTCTTCAAGCCTACTTTGTCTCTCTCTTCAACCGCTTTGACTGTTTTATTGTGTGTGGTGGAATCCTAGAGACCATCTTGGTGGAAACAAAGATCATGTCACCACTGGGTATCTCAGTGCTGAGATGTGTGCGACTGCTAAGAATTTTTAAAATCACAAGGTATTTCTCCCCCCACCCCCTTAATTTTTATATTTAATGGAGTTCATGCAGCCAAAGGGAAATTGCTCATTTCTGTGTGGAAAACTTGTGTGCTATAATGTCTTAGGCAAATATTTCTTTCTGGAATCATTTTTTACCAGTTATTCCATCTCTGACTCTCCCTTCTTGCCATGTGTATGTGGCAGTTTAGATAATATATATCATTATTTGTTTTGTTTACAGATTGTCTTATAACAAAGTTCCCAAATAAAAAAAAATTAGTTAGTAACAAGAAAGCTAATAAAGTATAAAGTACAGCATAAAAACAGGTGCAGAGAGTCAGAACAAAGTCTTCTCCTGGTGCCAAAATGACTAAGTGAGCATTTCTGGGGAAGACAATCCATAGTTGAGGCACCATCGCTCAAAAAGGCCCCCTCTCCCATAGCTACACTTCACTTGGTGTGGGGCATTTGGAGAAGGGCCTCTGAAGATCTCAGGTTTCAGGTAGGTTCTTGTGAAGAGAGGTATCCATCTAACTACAGTCGTACCTTGGTTCTCAAATGGAATCCATTCTGGAAGTCCGTTCGACTTCCGAAAACATTTGAAAACTAAGATGTGGCTTCCAATTGAGTGCAGGAGCTTCCTGCACTCAATCGAAAGCCATAGAAGCCACATCGGACGTTCGGCTTCCAAAAAAAGTTCACAAACCGCAACACTCACTTCCGGGTTTGTGGCGTTTAGGAGGCAAAATGTTTGAGTCACAATGTGTTCGAGAACCAAGGTATGACTGTACTTTGATTCCTAGTCATAAAGTGCCTTTAAGATCAAAACCAGCACCTTGAATTGAATCAGGCTCAGAAATGGACTGAGAGTCAGTGAAGCACTGTTGTGATATACTTGTATTGCCTGGTCCCAGTTAGCCATCTTGCAGACGTATTCTGAACTGACTGATATTTCCAGACCATTTTCTATAATGATCCCACATACAGTGCATTGCAGTAGTCCTCTTTCCCTCCAGCATTTCATAATCATAAGATATTTTGACTCCACAATGATGAAGATTCTCATAACTATTTGCGTGGCTCAACTCTATCTTCATTATATAACTCTTTCCTTAGGAACCTGTCTATTTTAAGTTCACCACTAGAGGGCTGTCTCTGGGTGCTCTCATTATTATTGCTGCATTTTAGGCACCAGGTTAAAGATTTATTTTAAACCAGACTTTTAATGAAAATTATTGATGAGTTTTTACCTGCCTTCTCTTTTAGATTCTGTTGAATTTTATTGTGATGTTTTATCTTGTAGTTCTAGTGGTGTTTTATTAGCTGTCGTTAGGGCTCTTATATATTTTGCACTCTTCTTTTATTGTTAGCTGCCTTGCAAATTTTAACTGAAAAGTGTGGTGTAAGTGTTTAAAACATAAAAATAAATTGCACAAGGGCTGAAAGTTATCAAGATAAATTTGAATTCTGCTTTGTGGGATTGGCCTAGTATAAACATTATAATGACCCCACCACAATTCCCCAGAAACCAAGAAGCCTGGTCCCCTTCATCCAAGAATGAGCACACACAAACCAGATTTTCAACCAATCTGGCTTTGATTCCAAACTGTTTTCCCATCTGTTCTTGTTGGTTTTCACTGAGCTGATCTCTTGAGTGAGGTATTCTGGCTTGCTTTGAACAGCTGTGAGTGTTGTAATGAGGTTGGCTAGAATGTAACTTACTGAAGCAGCACCTACTAATTGCTGTATATTTATAACACTTTTTGAAAAGTAATCTTCCCGGCATGCTAGGTGCAGAAGTGGTGGGGGACTTGTGTGTTTTTCACATGTGGCCATAAAAATGCTCATTAACTGCCGTAGGTCACATTATCTTAGGGAAGCTCATGAATGGTTCATTTCTTCACAGGCTGTTTGGAAAAGGCATGTTTATAGACACCATACAGCCTGCCTGAAGGTGATACCTGATGCAGATGAGCAGTATCTGCTTTGGACAGAAGAAATGTAACCACCTTTCTTTTGGCTCTTCAGGTATTGGAACTCTTTGAGTAATTTGGTGGCTTCCCTGCTCAACTCTGTGCGCTCCATCGCCTCCCTGCTGCTACTTCTCTTCCTCTTCATCATCATCTTCTCCCTCCTAGGGATGCAGCTCTTTGGGGGCAAGTTTAACTTTGATGAGATGCAAACCAGGAGAAGCACATTTGACAACTTTCCCCAGTCGCTGCTCACTGTGTTTCAGGTATGGCTTTATTTGATTTATTTACGTAAATGGCAGTAGATTCAATGACAGTGTAACATGGTGAATAAAGCTCTTGTGCCAATAAAAATTATAATAAACATTCATTAAAAGCCAGTTGGAGTTAAAAATAATAATTTTGCAGCATTTTCTAAAAGCCAAAGGTGGGCCTTCTTGGGGACATGCTTTTCATAACAAAGAGGCCACCTCTGAGAGGTTCTATAGCCTAACATCTCATGGAGATCTTAATACAGGAATGGGCTTGTTATAGAGAGAAGCACTCTTGGGAGATGCTGAGGTCAAGTTATTTAGTTAACAACGTTGTTGGAACTACTTCAAACCTATAGAAGCAGCATGTGATACACTCTTGGAGGACTGTACCATTTTAGACTAATGCTGTGAGATCTCATAAAAGACTCCCTGTTGTTAATAATTCGCACAAGAGATGCATTCAAGCATAGATTTCTGGTGTAGAAAGGAGATAACATGTAGAAGTATTCAAATCTGCAATTCCCAACCTGAAGTAGTACAGTTCTTACTAGGGATATGCAGCAGCTTCAGATGAACCCTAAGTTGAATCAGGGGACTGGGGCGGGGGTGAACTTGCCTTATGCAACCAGGATCTCTGTGAAGCCTCCTTTGTCAAAAAAAAAAAAAAGTGATTTCAGTGTTACTGGCACACCAGAACTTAGTTTGCAAATCACTGTGAGTTCTGTGCTTTTGTTGTGGGGCATACTAAGGCTTTTTGATTTTCAGATAGTTACAGCTATCCACCAGTACAGGGACAGTTTCAGAGATGACTCAGAAATTGCTATTAAAACATCACACTCTCACTGGGGATGCCACAAACACCTGCAATATGATTATTCACACTGCAGTATTTTCCTACTTCTCCTCCCCATCATATTTTATATTGCCCCAGGAAAGAGAGTCTTGGTACTTCATTTGCAGGTATGGTGCTGCTAATGTGCCTGTTCTAGACTGTGCTCATTATGCCTAAAAGAGCACATCAGATGTTAACATTAAATCTACTTTTCAGCTGTGTTCCCAGTCAAATTTTAAACGAGTCCTTAGTGTGTGATATCTATGTCACAGGTGTCACCAGAGAGCCTACAAGACATTTGTAATGTCAATTAATGTGCAAAGACAAGCTAATGTACAGATGATGGATAAAGATGCCCGTTCCTGCATGGCAAATGCCAAGGCACTTCCCCTCCATAACCCGCATTAAGAATGGAGGTTGTAGCACATGTTAGGGAGGGCTTTTTTAAGATAGAATTTTGTGTTCTCTCTAACAGATTTTTTTGCAGGTTTTCTGCATGCTGTCTAACATTGTGTGTCCCCCTATTGGTGGGAATGTGTCATTTAGATCCTGACTGGGGAGGACTGGAATTCGGTGATGTATGATGGGATCATGGCTTATGGCGGCCCCTCTTTTCCAGGAATGTTGGTCTGTATTTACTTCATAATCCTCTTCATCTGTGGAAACTGTATCCTTTGCTACTACCTTTGTGTTCCTTGACAACTGGGCTGAACTGTAGGGACAGCATTATAGGTTGATATGGTTGGGCCCATGCTGAGGTCCATGACTGAGCCAAAGGGCTACTGCTAACGAGCTTCTTGGCCCCTAGTGCTCTTCTCCCTCACTACCCGCACCTGCTTCCTCACCTAACTTTTCATTTTGACTATGTCATTCTCTCACCTGCTTCTTCAGGAGGGATAGACGGATGAGTGAGTAGAGACAATAGGGAGGACAGCAAAGAGATATTTGGTACCTTAAAGAGAAATACATTTTTGTTACCTAAATTTTCATGGACCAGTACCCACTTTTTCTGATGCAAGTAATGTTGAGGAGCAGAGCTGAGGAGATGCAGTTAAAAGAATCAAAGGCAGGTGCAGCCCACAGTAATGATAGCAATGAGCAGGTGACCCCACTGAGGGCATATTGCAGGATCTTAGTAATTCAAATCCTGAAGCTGGCACTTAAATAGTAAGACCCTGCCACTTACTACAATTTAAAAAATAGCGAAAGGAAAGGAAGATTTTTGAAGTAGAAAAAAGAACGATGTTATAATTGTTTTATTGAGTATGCTTACATTAATATACTGAAAAAGTGAAGTTTTTGTTACAAAAGTGGATATTTTAAAAAATGGAAATTTCTTTGAAAAGAAAATCCATCTTAAACTATAAGAAATAATATGAAGAATTGCAGCATTCTATGTATTTCTAACTAGTATGGCAGCATAGCGCTCAGCTTTCTTACACTGATCACACGTCTTCAGAAAAGCACCAAATTAGCACCATGTGTGGACTAACACATGATGATTTTCAGATATGGAGGTGTGCAATATTGTGCATGTATTCCATATGCAGCTGATTTAATATTTGAATATTAATAACACATGATGAGTCATTAAACAGTTGTGCACATTTCCATTGATGTGCCAAATTTACAAGAATCATATGCAGATCTGGAGCAAGTGATATTGTACCGGGGTGGGTCATATTTCTGTGGACAATTTTCTAATAGATCAAAATTTCGTTATGGACCCACTAGATGTCATGGACTGGCTGGATGCAGAGGAGTGGTGGGAGGCACCTGCCAGGGAACCCCCAAGGAAAGAAGGCGCTGGTCCAGGGGATTGGTAATGGGATGACAATGAGTGGTCAGAGGGAAAAGAGGGAGCAGACGGGGTGGGGGATATCAGAAGCTGGGGAGGTGACAGGGTTTAGTGAGCAGGAAGAGTGTGTCAGAGAGCAGTCCAAAAACAGAGGCAGAAGAAGAGGCTAGAGAGGGGAGCCAAGAGGCAGAGATGAGTCAGACTACTGAAGAAGCCTGGGGGGGCTCCCCCTCCTCCTGTGACCAGTTCTTCTCCCCTCTGGTCTCCTAGAACCAGAAAAGGTATGAAAAGGACGGAGCAAAAACAGAAAGGGCATTAAGAGTCTCAGATTTGTTGGAAAGGGCCAGGGGAAGAGAAAACTTAGGGAGCTGTGAGAAGGTGGGGACCGTCAGTCCTTGCAACTGCCTCATTGGGGCAAGAACTACTGGGAAGAGTTGCTATACTCACTGGCCCTGGCCTCCTGTGCTGTTTTGTTCCTTTGAATAAAGAGAGTTAGCTTTACTGACACAATATGAGTTATTGCTGACCTGTTCCTGACACCTGCCCTGACACTATATAGCCAACTCTCAGAACAATATGGCCAGAACAAAAACAGGAAAGTGAGTGCAATGGCATATTGTAGGTCAGGGGTAAGGAACCTCTGGGCTATGGGCCTGATTAGGCCCACCAGGCCTCCTCATTAGACTCACAAGGTCATTTCATCCAAGCCACTGCCACCAGTCTTACACCTGACATCATATAAGGATCAGGTGTGGAACAGATAAAGGTGGGGCTTGAACAAAAGGGGCTTTGAAGCCACTGCAGGTCAGCTGATCAATGGTGCCTGTAAAGCCATTTGTGCAGCGCTTTCCCCATCCCAACACTCAGTTGATTATCAATGCTTAGGAAGTGCCGCACACTTTTCTGGCCTGCAGTTTGATTTCAACCTCTGCAGGCAAAAATGGACCCCCTGACATCAGGTGATTGACAGGTAGGCGGTCCCACTCACCTGTCAAACTTGGCATGCTGGTCTGTGTGGAGCTAAACATCATTCCCACTGGTCAGATCTATTTTCCAACCTCCGTAGTTGGGGCTGCATCTAAACATGTTTTCTTTAATGAAACATGCAAACAGACATCTTGCTGAATGTCTTTTTGGCCATTGCTGTGGACAACCTTGCTGATGCTGAGAGCCTGACATCTGCTCAAAAAGAGGAAGAAGAGGAAAAAGAAAGGAAAAAACTAGCTAGGTAAACCCTTTGTTTCTAGTTTGGTATAAAACAATGTCCCTAAATGGTTCTTGAGAGTAAAGGCATGTCCAATCAGCCACATTTTATATCCCTGGTTTGGTATTGTAACTTACAGGTAGGATAAAAGTAGTTTATCTTTCCCTTCTGTGTTCATTCTGTTAAGCCAAATATTCAAATGGCAGAGTTGACACTGGTACTGGTCAACCATGTTGGCTCACTAGAGACTAGTGCTTCCTGTGGCTTGATTTTAAACATCAGAGAGGCAGAAACCACTCAGTGCCCAAAATTAATGCTTCTGTGCATGTATGTCTCAAAACGGATTTGGTGGTTATATGTTATTCAGCTAGCATCTATTAATCTTTCAAATTCTGTGGAAGCTTCCATCAGATAAAAAAACATCCATAAAGGGGGTGGAGAGAGGAAAAAAGAATGGAAATAAGTTTCTTTTCCCCTCTACTCAATAAAAAGCCCCTCTGGAAAATGGGGGCCATTCTGAACTACATGGGATGGGGCATGGGAGCTGCAGAGGGGAGGGGAGCATGAGAGACTTTTCTTCCATGAACTTCCTTAAATTACCTTAGGCTGCAAACCACTGTATTTTTGAAATTCTGTTATTATATAGTTAATGGCATCTCACCAGCTCATTTTAATGAGAGGTGAGGTCTGTGTTATAATAGAAATGAAATGGTTGAGCAGATAGACTAGGAGGGTCCTCAAAGCCATCCCTTTTCATACTTTAATGACCTCCTATGAGAAGGCATTATTTTCTTCTCACAATACCAAATTCTTCTTCATGAACATGAAACAGACATTGTTCATTGGAGTTTCAAGATTGGGGGGGGCAGCAATAATCAAGGAGACAGGGGATTACCTCTGCCTCATGTTCTTGTCAGAATTGTACCAAGTGCTTGTTGACATGATAAGCTATGCACTACTCATGGGAGTCTGTAACAGAAAACACAATTCCATATTTTGCGAACATTTGCATTTCCCTTCTTTGCTGAATTATTAGAACTGCTAGTCCTGAAAAGAAACAGGAGCCTGAGAAGCCAGCTGTGGAGGGGGAGACAAAGGAGGAGAAAATTGAACTGAAATCGATCACTGCCGATGGAGAATCTCCACCTTCTAATAAGGTCTGCTGCTTGTTACCTCCCAACTTGCTTTGCCGAATCATATTTATGAATGAATGAATCAATAAAATGGGATGAATGAATAAAGCAAGCTCTATTATGGTTTTCCCTTCTTTTTGTCAGAGCAATGTAGATGAATATCAGCCTAATGAAAATGAAGAAAAGAATCCTTATCCTACTACAGAGACGCCAGGTAATTCACTGCTGTGCTCACTTTTTTCCCTCCCACTAGCACAAGAAGCTGAAACTTAAAACACCGAAGGCAGTTCCAGCTGCATCACAGATAGATCCATATCACCCAGTAAAAGATAACCAGCTGATAATTGTACTTGACAAGATGGAATCATCTCTTTAGTTCTATGGAAATAACAGGTATTTGCCAGATCCAGATGGGAGACATTCCTAGATTGAGATTATGCCTCCTACTGGAGGATCAGGCAGGGTCATTTCAAGCCTGTTGCCTCCTCTCCAAAGGGAGGGGTCATCTTTCTAGCCAGACCAACCCTGCCTGTGGTTGGTGAAGGCTAGATTCTTGTGCACTCTTGCTGTCAGCCAGTTTTTTCTGTCCTTAACGTCTCTCCTTGTGGTGCTATTACTTGGATCTATGAGTGTTTTGGTTTTGGTGTTTTCTCCTCTCTGGTGTTTATTTTTCTCTTGACTTTTTTGTTTCTGTTTCTGTCTTTTCCTTCCCTGGTTGTTGTGCTTTCCCTCCTCTCCTCATTGTTGTCCTTTCTGAGTGGTGTGGAGGAAGGGGAGAATTTCTTTGGATCTGGTGGGTCTTACTAGATCCTGGAATGCGTTGCACCTCTGATGGGGCAGTCTTTGGGCACTGGAGTGCGGTGGCATGTCCACTAACAAGCAGGAATGCCGTTTTGTTTTCTCTTGTTGCTTGAAGCAGCTGTTTTCCTCTGTGCCTTTTTTTCCAGATGGTCCACAATAATCAACCAGCATGGCCATCAGTGTTAGACTACTCCCACTGTCAGGCTGGTGGTTGCCCAGTCATTTGGTGGTTCCTGGCATTGTTGTGATCCCAGCTATATAACTAGCAGGTACACTAGTGCCTGGTAGTAGGGTTGTTATTGCACACTGTTGACAAGTGGTTTAGCATGCTGAAATTGTTTCTCATCTTTTCCCCCCTGAGGTTATGGGAAACTGTATTTTTGATGGCTTTATCTCTACTTTATGTGGGCTCCTGCTATTATGGTTTCCCAACAGTGGACTTATCTGACTGCAGAACCTCCTTGGCTAAGAGGTCTCTGTGTTTGAACCCATCTTTGTAGCTTTAGACCAGCAATGCATACATCATTACTACAGAAACTCCTGGTGTCTTTTCTAGGGAAGGGAGAATTCCCTTGTTTTTTCTCCTGGGTCAGGAAGGGTTTTTTTCCAGGAGATTCAGAGAGGTTGAGTATTCCTTGCAGTTTAGTTCTGAGGGAGGGGAGAGGAAGGACCCCTTCTACAAAGTCTTACAAGCGCCATAAGAAGAACAGGGGGCAGCAAATTCTAGTTCTGTGGGATCCCCTCCTCCTCCCCTTTCTTCTAGGGCTGTTTCTTGAAGTCAGTCCAGGTCTCATGCTAGGAAATGTGTGGTGGAGACTGGGGCTGTGGTTGCTGGGACAGCTGGCATAAGAAAGTCAGGAGCTGCTGGTCCTGAGGCTAGAAGGAAGTATCAGCAGGCAACTCTGGTGGTGAGCTCTGAAGCCCCTTTTTCTTATATGGATCCCCCCCATTCCCTCTGCCCCCCTGAGAGGAAGGGTAGGTGAGGAAGGGCTGGAAGTAGTTCAGTCTGAAAGTATTTGCTTCTGATGTTTTTCTGGCCCTTTTGGCCAAGGCTCACAGGGTCCTAGAACTGACTTAGGAAGATCTTCATGTGCAGCCTTTCTCCTCTCAGTCCTTGGATGTGGGTACAAAGAGGGTCTTCCCTACTTCTTTGAACAAACTCCTGCATGTATCCAAGAAAAATAGACACCAGAGCCATCTTAGACCTCAGCAGGCTCAGCAAATGTGTGGAGAAGAAATGCTTCAAAATGAAGACTTTGAGGTCCATCATGGCAGCACCAAGAAGGGGAGACTGGATGACCTTAACTGATGTCTCCATGTCTCAATCCAACCTTCCACTGGTGGTTTCTCCAGTTCACCTACAGTCAGGATCTCTACCATTACTGGGCATTGCCTTTTAGTCTCATTTGGCAATGAGAATCTTCACCAAGGTATTGATAGCACTGGGCCCATTTCCACACCAGAGGCATTTGCAGTCATCCATATCTGGTCAACATTCTGATCCATGCTCCATCTAGGGGACAGGTTCTTCAAGTGACCATGGCAACAGTCTCCTGCCTGCATGACCTAGGGTTTGTGATTAATGTGAAGAAGAGTGCCCTCTCTCCCACTTAGTATTGGGCACACCTTGGGGTTTGTCTGGACACAAATTAGTTCTCCATGTGTCTGACATTAGAGTGAGTGGCAGCACTTCATCTTGCCCTGGGCACTGCTTTAGTGGATCTGATAGCTTGGTGCCATGTTTTGACTTTGTGTCATGGACTCAGTTGCACACTCGGTCACTGCAAAGACCGTTAACAGAACCTCACTGCAGTGAGGCATCATTTGCAGGTAGAAATTCTATTGACAGTGAAGAAAGAACTGGTCTAGTGACTGACTCCATGGCACCTAACTGTGGATGTGTCTCTGGAGGAGCCTTCCCAATTGGCGCTCATGACTTGTATATCTGCAGTTGAGGAACTTCTCTAGTTAATAAGGCCACTCAAGAGGTGTGGACCACTGAATAAACACAGTTCAGTATCAATGGAGTTGGACCTAAGCAACTGGAGATGGACATCTTGGGCCATCGCCTTATGGTCAGGATGGATAAGCCATTTGCCAAAGCTCACATCAGTTATCAGTGAGATGTGAGATTGATGGTGGAGACGGATACACTTCTGAGATGAGTAGAGCAGCTTTTACTCAGCTTGAAGGTAGAACATTTAGCCAGAGTGGACAACCAGACAGCAGACTGGTTGAGCCAGGTATCAACAAGGGAGGCCAAGTGGCAGTTAAAACCCCTGGTGTTTTGTCTAGTAGTGCACTGTTTGGATCAGTCAATAACAGATCAGTTTGCTTCATAGAGCAATGCCCACCTCGATACCTTTCTCTTGTTTTCAATCTGGGACCATGGGGTGTGGATGCTTTAGAGATTGAGTGGCCTCTGGGGTTGCTATATGCCTTTGCACTGTTTAATGCAGAAAATGCTTAAGAAGGATCATCAGTGTAGGCTAAGGTGATCCTGACGGCCACTTACTGGCCAAGAAGGCCTTGGTTTCTGCACCTGGTGAATTTGGCAGTGCAGGATCCTTTAATATTGCCAGTTTGGGAGGACTGAGCAGTGTGCTGGCTAATCTTGAAGGCCCACCTTTGTCTGCTCACCCTCTTTGTAAAAGATTTATTAAAGGTGTGACACTTGTTGCTCCTCCACTTGTCCATAGATTTTTTTCTTGAAAATTGAATTGGGTGCTCTCAGTTCTTATGGGACCTCTTTGAGATGGCCACTTGCACTCTGAAACGGTTGACCCTTAAAGTCATATTTTGGGTGGCTATCACCTCAGCCAGATGTGTTGGAGCTCGAAGCTGACCCCTCCATTTTATTTTACGTCCTGATAAAGTGGTTCTTTGCACAGACCTAGTGCTCACGCCTAAGGTGAACTCCATTTTTCTTAAGTCACAGGAAGTGAACCTATCTTTGTTTGGTAAGAATCCTTCCTACTCCCAATAATGTGAATAGCATACTTTTTCCATTTTTAACTCAAGAGGTCATTCAATTTCAGGAAGTGTGAGTAGCTGTTTCTGTCTTATTTGGTCTTCTCTGTTGGGGCAAAAAAGTCTCATCATCCTCCGTTTCCCTTTGGCTTCAGGAGGCAGTTAGTGAAGTGTATTATTCACTGGGTCAATTGCATCCCAAGTCATCACAGCTTATTCTTTGAGAAGTGCTGCAGTCTTGGTTGCCTTGAAGAGAACTTTTCTGGTGGGGGTATCTGTAGGACAGCTATGTGGGCCTCCCTGGCCCTAGACATCACAAAATTGTTTGTTTTGTGGTGGCTGACACAAATTTTCATAGGACTGTGTTGCTGAGGCCTATGAATGAGTAAAGTGATTGGCAAAGGAAGTCCACTCTGGGTTTCTGCTTGCACCTATGTTATATGCCAGTCTAGAAATGCCTTCCATATAGATTTGGCAAAAACAGAAAATTGTTTTAAAATAAATTTCTGTTTGAAGATCCAGATGGAAGACATTATGCACACCTCTCCTTCCCCTGCTTGCATTTGGCAGGGAGGGAACTAGGTTATGGACTTGCCTGCTTTGTCACATACTGTTAGGGCTTCCTTTTCCATCTTAGGGCATTATCTTCTGGGGGTGGTGGAGTAAGGGGTTCCTGTGTTGTTTCTGGCAGTTCAGTTTCTGTTCTTTGTCTATGTCTGGGTTTTTCTGTTTTTTCCTGTGAGTCTTTTTCAGTTAGGCTCAGGGTTTGTGGTTTGCCAGTCGAACAATCGATTTGGGGTTGAGGAGTTGTCTATGCTTTCTAGAGAGGTGACTCCTCCCCCTGGAGAGGAGGCAAAAGGCTTGAAAGGACCCTTCCTGATACTCCTGTAGGAGACGTCATCTGAGTCTAAGAATGTCTTCCATCAGGATCTTAAGAAATTCATGGTAAGACAAATTTCCATTTTTATTATATGGTATTGTATGTTATAGTCACAGCTATATGCAATCTGTATTACAGCTGTGAGCAGCCACTGGTATGTCAGGTTTTACAGCCTCACCAGCTGAAAATTAAGCAGGTCTGTATATATCTGCTTAATTTACATGGCTTTTCTTGTTTCTCCTAGCCAAGGGGATGGAGCAAAAACCTTGCTGCCTACCCACTGGAAAGGCAACTGGGGGTCTACTCACATGAGCATTGGGTTTGTGGGAAGATAATGTGAATTGCGTTATATACCATGACTCCCTTTCTGCAATGGGCTCGTTGTACATGCCTGATATTGCTCAGCTGCAGGATTTAATGGCTTTCAGCGTTTTTTCAAAGGTGCCATTTTAGTGCTACCTAAACACTGGTGTGCCAGCCAGTGGATTAATTTAGCCACTGTGTACAGAAGTTCTATAAATCATTCCTGAATCAGTATGGTTTAGTGGGCAGGACGTTTGACTCGGAAACATACGCAACTATGAACTTGTTTGGTGGCCTTGGATAAACCACTGTCTGCAGTAGCAGTTGGTAGGATAGGGTGGGCTGTGCTATTTTTCTGGCTTCTCATTACCAGTGTTACTGCTGGTTATCAAGAAGGAGAGAAGCAAGGCAACAGGGAGCCTGGTGTGGTGAAGGCACAGCAGTGGAAGCACTGTGTCTACACCTCACCGACTTCCTCACTCCCTTCCCCACTCGATAGCAGGCTGCAACCATAGCACTGGGAAGCAAAAAACAAACAAACACATTTTGGCCCATTACCTCTGACCGCTACTCACTATATGTCTCAGTACTTCTGACTCCATCTCTGAAATGAGAATGAGAGTGGCTTGCTTTGTAGGGGAGTTTTAAGTATGAATCTTGTCTTTGTACATTATGTATTTTCACCTCCTAAAAGCTCTAAAGAAAACCTCAATAGTTACCAAAAATATTCTAAGTCTGCCATGCATGAAATATTTGTCTCAAGACCAAACTAGGTGTTACATGCAATTCTGAGTTATTTCCTTCCGCATGTTTCTTGCTTATTTTTGCTGTTACCAAAACTATGGTGGAAGTCTGGAAAACAGCAGGGAATGGAGAGGTACTCTAACCTTTTCTCCTCTAACTTCAATTTTCCAGTTTAAAATAATCTCCCTAGGCCACAGCTTCCCCTGCAAGGAAAAACATAATGGGTGGTTTGGAGCTGGAAAATATAGAACCAAAGAATTGTAGAGTTAGAAGGGTCCCCAAGAGTCATCTAGTCCAAACCCTTGCAATACAGGAATCTCAGCTAAAGCATCCGTGACTGATGGCTTTTCAACCTCTGCTTAAAAAGCTCCAAGGAAGGAGAGTCTACAACCTCCTGAGGGAGACTGTTCCACTGTCAAACAGCTCTTACCATCAAAAAGTTTTTCCTGGTGTTTAGTCAGGATCTCCTTTCTTGTAAATGATTTAGGGGGTGGGGGTGGCGTTAAACACGAAGGCTGCTTTGTAGTGTGTCCCTAAGATATTTGCTTCTGAGGCACAGCATCTGGGGGGTTGCCCTATATATTTGCATGTAATTTCCCCAATCATGTATATTTATTCCTGTTTGCGTATCAGCTGCTCTGTGATCATTGAACATGATGGACTCCTTATTAGCAAACCAAACCTGTGGCACTGCAGATGTGAATAATGTTTTCTCATATCACCCATCTGGAACAGCATCTGACTTTAGACCTCTTCTTGTACTCTGTCTGCATGCAGGTGCTCTTGTTAAGCCAGGCTTTTGCTACATCCAGACAACTCTGGATATCATTATTTTTATCCTGCATCAGCTATTTCAAAGCATTTTCTAAAATCTCAAGTCTTATTACCAAAGATTCTTTTCCAGATACCACCAGCCAATCTTCTAGAAATCTCTCATAGTCACCAAATCCCTCAAAGCTGTTATTTTACCTGCTGCTTCAATGAGATCAATTCCTTTCTTCAACAATGTTTTTCAGCCTGCCCAACCAGATGGAAAGAGTACTCAAAGCACACTTGGGCTTGCCTATCGGAAGGTTGGCAGTTCGAGTCCACCCAAGAGGGTGAACTCCTGTTGCTCTGTCCCAGCTCCTGCCAATCTAGCAGTTTGAAAACATTCCAGTGTGAGTAGATAAATAGGTACTACTGTGGCAGGAAGGTAAACAGTGTTTCTGTGCACTCTGGCTTCCATCACGGTGTCCCGTTGTGCCAGAAGCTGTTTAGTCATGCTGACCACATAACTTGGAAAGCTGTCTGCCGACAAACACCAGCTCCTTTGGCCTGAAATGAGATGAGTGCCGCACCCCATAGTCAAGTCTGCCTGGACTTAACCATCCAGGGGTCCTTTGCCTTTTACCTGCCCTGCTGAAGTTGTGGATAGACAAGTTTGGTTCACTGGAGTCCTTTTGGGGGGTTTTGTGGTAATGGGAATCCTTACAAATAGGTAACCAGACAGTCTTTGACTATAACTACCTTGCCCATCTGCAAGCTTTTGAGCAGGTTTCCCCATCTAAATTATGTCCAGGAAGGTGTTTCTCAGTTTCCACTAAATGGCAGCTGATATTCATAGTTCAGCAACAGGACAGATGCTGCATGACATGCTTGCTTGCCATGGTCAATTATGGGTGCTTTGTTGTTGCAATATCTTCTTCTTTCGCAATCACTCGTGGCTGAATAAGATTGTCTTCCATGAACACTGTGTCAACAGTGGAGGCCAGTTCTGGATCCACATGTCCTTCCATAGTGGGGACATAGGTTTTTGGATGAGAGTTGATCACGGTGAGGGTTTGTCAAACATGCCTTCCTCTTAGCTCGTTTCTCCTTTTCGCCCTGAGTTTGTGCTTCTTCAAAGTCCATGACACCTTTGGTAAAGGCTGTTGGTAAAACCTCCCTGAGTGTTAAGATCTGCTTCAAAGTTGCTGGTCATTGACTTGTCGATTTTGGAGTATATACTAGGAGAATGTAGTATCTCCACAATTGTTGAATTCACTTCCCATTGAGCTTTGCCAGCCTCACCCCCACCCTCCATCCCCTTTTAGAGGTGGTTGAAAAGCATTTTGGGATTGATTTTAATTTAGATCTATATTTTAATTATTTGCTGCATTTTAACTGATATTTATTTTATTGTAATTTTATTGTTTTCTTCTTTTATTTGTAAAACTTCCTTGGGAGAAGTTATTCTTAAAGGCAGGATACTTAAACTAAGGACCTTTGCAGTAGAACCTCTGGCATACTGCTCTCTCAACCATTGCTACAGCTTGCTTAGATAATGTAACTGCTGGCTTGACTGTCAGCTTTTCTCCCATTGTAACATTTCACTGCAGGTGGCTTGAAGGTGGTATATCAACTCTGGCTCCTCCATCCGAGTAACTCATTGCTCAGGTATAGGCTGAACAGTTCTCACACTACTTGTGTTGGATTTTTCACCCACCTTCAAGACTGCCTACCAGTTTCCAGGCTCAACTATCTATCAGATCAATACTTGCTTTTCTCAAGACTGCCAACTCTGACGTAAAGCTTACCCACTGAGAATCTAACAGGAGTGCAGTGGGTATTTGTATCATTGGCCAATTTATGACATGTCTTCAGGGCTTAGGTATGTAAACGCAGCCACATTTGAGCTCTCCATGGTAGCTGCTGCTTGCCTGGAAGTTTCTCCACTTGCATCTTATCAGCACCCACCTCTCATACCTCCAGGATTGGGATGAGGTTGAGCAGGTCCAGACCCATCATGCACTTCATTCAGTTTTTTATAAGCTCACGTTGCCCCAGTTTTCACATTAATCTTCTTTGCGCTACCTTTGATGTTTCAGCTTCAGACTGCAATGCTGCTCCAGGCATCCCCCAGCGGCAGGCCCTCCAGGCACTCATTATGCAACTCTTCAACCTGCCTCTTGGCTCTTGCAACCGCCACTAAAGAGATCTGCTATGCTGACAAGCTTCTTTTCAGCAAGAGAATCATGATGATGATGATGTATTCAATGAGAGTAGACAGAGTACTAATTTTACAATCTAGTTTACAGGCAAATTAAAGAGTTTAAGCTCTATAAGTACATACAATGAGGATGAAAGCCAGAATGATGCGAAAACCTGGAAGATAGAGCAAAAGTAAACATTGAAAAGGCTCCATCAATATCATTATCATCATTATTAGTCAAATGTACTGCACTTCTAAGATCCAAAGGGCTTTCCAGGCTTTCCCTTGTTCTCCTTTATTTAAGGAAGGCAATTGTGTTTTTAATATATAGGAATCATCAGAGAGAGTAGATTCTGGGTTGAATAAAGATTAACCGTAGGCATCCAAGGCTCATTTATTTGTGAAGGAATTTTTTATATTGCCATCTACCACATGTTCTCAAGGCAGGTTCCAATAACACCTTACTGTACACTTACTTCTAAAAAATAATTTAAAAATCCCTTTATTTGATAAAGACCATTTAATTACTGTTGTTCAGGGGCTCAACAAAAGAAAAATGTCTGCCCCTGATATTGGAACCCATTTGGCATTGGTGTCTATCTGATCTCAAGGACAAGAGAGTTTCAAAGCTGGATCACTACCATGGGAAGAGACTGTTCTTGGTTCTAGTCAGTAAAGGTAAAGGGACCCCTGACCATTAGGTCCAGTTGTGGCTGACTTTGGGGTTGCAGTGCTCATCTTGCTTTATTGGCCGAGGGAGACGGCGTACAGCTTCTGGGTCATGTGGCCAGCATGACTAAGCCGCTTCTGGCAAACCAGAGCAGCACACGGAAACGCCATGGGTTAAACCACAGAGCCTAGGACTTGCTGATCAGAAGGTCGGCGGTTCGAATCCCCGCGACGGGGTGAGCTCCCGTTGCTCGGTCCCTGCTCCTACCAACCTAGCAGTTTGAAAGCACGTCAAAATGCAAGTAGATAAATAGGTACCCCTCTGGCGGGAAGGTAAACGGCGTTTCTGTGTGCTCCCCCCCCTTTCTAGTCAGTAGGTACCTGTTAATGGTGGTTCTATCAACAGGGCCTCCCTTGCAGATATCAACAAATGGGTAGGCCAATTTTGAGAGAGGCACTCTTTCAGGTAGTTGTGTTCCAAGTCATTTGGGGCATTATATATCAAAGCCAACTTCTGGGATTAGCCTCTGTGACATATAGGCATCCAGTGCATGTGCTTCAAAATTGATTTATATGTGCTTGGGCTGCCATCCTTGTCAGCACCTTTGCATCTGTCTTAGTTCCAGTCTCCAAACCAAATTCAAGGGTAGCTCTCTGTAGAGCACATAGCAGTAATCAAGCCAGGAAGTTACTAGGCCATGGATTATGGTGGCTAGGCTATTCCTGTCCAGCAGCAGCCAGAGCAGGCAACAGGCACTCTGCACCCCACTAGCTATCTAAGGTTCTGGTAACAAGGTGGAATCAGTGAGTGCTCCCAACTATGCACTTGATCCTTTAGGGCAGGGTTATCCAAACTTTTGTCTCCAGCTGTTTTTGGACACTTGGCTTTTAAAGAAGAGGCAATTTATGAACACAGAATAATCATAAAAATGAGATAGTAAAGGAAAGCTTGCTTAAGGATTGCTGTTAGGATGCCAGTGCAGACAATTAAACACAGCTATTGTTTTGTACCATCTTTTAGTTTTTCTGTTTATCTATATAATTACCGGTACCTTAATGGCACCTGTGGAGTGTGTGCGTGTGCAAGTTTTTAAGCATCTTACTGTTGTTCTGTTCACAAACACATTAGACTTCTGGAGGTGCTTGAAATCCTCAAAGTATTTTTCCAAACCCTCCCTGTATTCCCACAGGCCATCCAGGGCCCCTTCTTGCAATTTCTTCCTTGAAGGATAGTCTCAGATCTCCACAGTGCCTGGAGCTCTCATTTTTAAGAATTTGTTTCAAGAGTTTTAGTTTTTAATTCTTCTGCCTTGCCTGAATTCTAAACAAGCAACAAAATGAAGAATTTATTTCCATCTCTTTTTAGGGGAAAATGGCCATTCCACCTGGTGTTGTGTGCCCTATTCACATCTAAGGGCAGGGGGTAGGGACCAGGTCAGGTGTTAACTCCATGCATGGATTCACAGAGGTGGGGAAAACCAATGTCCAATTTGCCCCAAAGCATTCTTCACAGCATTATTATTATATTTTCTTCTCATTATTATTATCAAATGATTACCTATGCTTCACCCTAAGGTTCCAGAGTAAGTTACAACAATTTAAAGTACAACATTAAAAACAGTTTAAAAATTACAGTTGAAGATCCTAAGAACTCGCTTCTAAAAGTATTAGAAAAAATACAGGAATTTGGGCAAGTAGCAGGTTTTAAATTAAATAAAAATAAGACAAAGCTGCTAGTCAAAAACCTATCATAATCGGATAAAAAAGCATTATATCAAATCATAGAAATAGAGATTCATAAAAAAGTTAAATATTTAGGAATCTGCCTTACAAACCAAGAACATTAATATCTTTAAAGATAACTATGAAAAGATTTGAAATGAAATAAAAAGGAATCTAGAAATATGGGTTAGAATGAATTTATCATTATTAGGAAGAATTTCAGGGATTAAGATGAACATATTGCCAAAATTTTTGTTTTTGTTTCAGTCAGTGCCGGTAATAAGTAACACAGCATGCTTCAAGAAATGGCAAAAGGATATCTCAAAATTTATATGGCAAGGGAAGAAACCAAGGATAAAATATAAACTACTTACTGACATTAAAGATAGAGGAGGATTTTCCCTTCCAGACTTTAAATTATCCAATGAGGCTGCTTGTGTTGCTTGGATCTGGGATTGGATTAAATTAGAAAATATGGATATATTAGATCTTGAAGGACATGACAACAGATTTGGATGGCATGCGTACTTGTGGTATGATAAAGGGAAAGTACACAAAAGATTCTATAACCACATAATTAGGAGATCACTTTTAAAAGTATGGAAAGATATAAAGATTTACTAGAACAAAAGACCCCGTGGTGGCTGTCACCAACAGAAGCAACTTCAATTAAAAAAATAAGAAATAAAAATGGTTCACATATAGAGATCTCTTAATAGAAATAGAAGGGAAATTAAAATTGAAAGAATTTGAAGAGTTTTGAGAACATGTAAATGATTGGCTGCAGTATCATCAATTAAATGAGGTATTTAAAGAGGATAAAAAGAAAGGATTTAGTTACACTTTATCCAGATTTCAAAGAGAAATCATAGGTGATAATACTAAATTACTGAAGAAGGTGTACAATATATTATTAGAGTGGGAAACTAAAGACGAGGAGGTAAAATGTCTAATGATCAAATGGGAACAAGATTTAGGACATAATATACAAATGGAAGATGGAGAGAAATTATGAAAAGTGAATTTAAAATTTACGGATTTTATAACTTTGAAACAGAATTATATGAAAATGATGTACCGTTGGTATATTGCCCCTGTAAAAATGACAAAAATGTATAGAACAAGCTCCAATAAGTGTTAGGAATACTGATTGTGTTGAATATAAAATTGTAAAACTTAATAAAAACTATTTTTTTAAAAAAGAAGATCCTTGGGGTCTCTTTCAACTCTACGATTCTACAGCTCTATGTCATGATGACGGAAGGATTTAATAGCATCCTGATAAATGCAGAAGAAAATTCCTGTTCCCTGATTATTTATTCTCTTCTATAGAGTCTACAGCATAATTAACAACAGCCTTAGCCTGGATTTTATGAGGGAAACCAGAAACCTTTTTCTGATTAATAGTATTTAAAAAGTATAAACTTTGCCTTTCAGGAGAAGAGGAGGAGGAAGAGCCTGAGATGCCTGTTGGGCCTCGTCCACGCCCAATGTCCGAATTGCACCTCAAGGAGAAAGCTGTGCCAATGCCAGAAGCCAGTGCTTTTTTCATCTTCAGCCCCAGCAACAGGTATTTTGAGGTGGCTGTTTTGTTGTTACATTTGCTAACCATGAATAGCAGATCCAAAGTCATACTTCCATAGTAGTCTGGAAAGCATGTGTTTTGTGGTGTCCTTATTCTTTAGGATAAATCTTTCCTATGCAAACCCACTGGAAATCTTCATGCTGTAGAGAAATGTCTTTCACTTGCATGAGCCTGGAAGACTTTTTATAAGAAGCAAATCATGAGGAAGCATTTGGAAATATGTAAAGGAAAAAACAAACTTACTAGTTAATAGGAACTGGGCATGCTAGTTTTCTACATGGTGGGAATATTTTGCATGGAAAAGCATTTATTGTTGTTGTTGTTGTTTGTTGTTGTTGTTACCTGCCCTTCAGCAAATCTCAGGGCTGGTTGTAACAATTTAAAATTCAGTATTAAAAACAGTTTAAGCAATTAGCAGTCACAGGAATAGTGTGGGTCCTGAAAATACACAGGAGCTCCCATCCACAGTCTGAAGTGGTATAGTCCAGGCACAGGTTTGCACCTGACATGAAAACAAGGCCTATGAAAACAAGGGTGGATATCAAAAATTACTTAACTTATTTTATCTCGATGTCTGAAGGATAAGATTGTACTTCCAACCCTGAAAAAGATCATGAATAAAATATTAGAGAACAGGAAAACTCCAGAATCATGGAAAGAAGCTTTAATAACTTTAATAGCGAAGCAGGAGCAGATTTGACCAATATTAAAAACTATAGACCAATTTCATTATTAAATTCGGATTATAAGATTTTTACAGGAATATTAGCAAACACACTTTTGATTAGAAGAATCAACGATGGCCAGGCTGGCTTCCTGCCGGGAAGACTATTATATAACAACACAAGGACAGTAATCAATTTATTAGAATATTTGGAAATGAAACTCTGCTGGTCCCGGGGGAAAGGTTACTGTTACCGTAGTCAAAGTTCAGTCCTGAGTCACTAGCCTGGAGATAATCCACAAAGTGCGAGGTGAGGTCCGAAACAGGGAGCCGGGCGGGGACAGGAACACTCGAAGATCAGAAGCAGGAAGCCGGGCGGGGAACAGGAACACTGGAGGAACAGGACTGGATGCTGGCCGAAACAGCTCTTCAATGACAACGTTGCTCCCGCAACCTGGGACCGGGCTGACTGGCCTTTATCTTCTCTAAGTCCAGGGGCGGTCCCAGCCCCCAGGAGCCCCGCCTCTCCTGGCCTTAAGGCGAGCACTCCTCCTGGGAGAAACCAGTTCCCTTCGCCTCTCTGCCCTAAGCCTCTGCAGTTCAGGAGAGGCTGAAGGGTTACTGGGCCCCGGGGGAGACTCACCTGTAGACACTGAGTCCTCAACCACCTCTGGGGCCAGAATGGATTCACCTGGTGCCTGCTCCTGAGGATCTGGCACAGGTGCAGGCTCCTCAGAATCCAGGCCTTGCCCCAGTTCAGCCGGCCCTGGAGGCGGGGACTCCTGTGCCGGCTGGGATTCCTCCTGTTCACTCTCAGAATCGGAATCCCAGGCCATCACAGAAACCGAATAAAAGAACAGCTATGTTATTAGTGGAGGCCGAAAAGGCCTTTGACAACGTTTCATGGGATTTTCTACTGAAATCTATCAAAGCAACCTGAAAGCCAAATTAATTATAAATAACGAAATAACGGAAACATTTAATATTGAAAAAGGTACCAGACAAGGCTGCCCATTATCGCCTCTTTTGTTTATCACCATATTATAAACATTATTAATAGCTATAAGGCAGGGATATCCAACAGGTCGATCGTGATCTACTGGTAGATCCCCACAAGTTTTTGGTAGATTGCGGTCGATCACTGACTCCTTTTCCTTAAGGTAAAGGTAAAGGGACCCCTGACCGTTAGGTCCAGTCGCAGACGACTCTGGGGTTGCGGTGCTCATCTCGCTTTATTGGCCAAGGGAGCTGGCGTACAGCCTCTGGGTCATGTGGCCAGCATGATTAAGCAGCTTCTGGTGAACCAGAGCAGCGCACAGAAATGCCATTTATCTTCCCGCCAGAGCAGTACCTATTTATCTACTTGCACTTTTGGGCATGCTTTCGAACTGCTAGGTTGTCAGGAGCTGGGACCGAGCAATGGGAGCTCACCCCGTCATGGGGACTTGAACTGCTGACCTTCTGATCGGCAAGCCCTAGGCTCAGTGGTTTAGACCACAGCGCCACCCGCATCCCTCCTTTTCCTTACTGTCGCTAAAACTGACTCCTGCCATGCCCCCTCACTCCGCCCTCCATTGTTGTATGATCTCTGGAAGGGAAGGTGGAGCTTTCTCTGTGCTGCTGTTTTGATCCATAGTGACGTTTTTGTGATTGACCCCTTTGTCCCATGCCTTTAACCCCCAGAAATGGATCCCCCCAAAAAAGTTTTTTTTTTAAATCCCTAAAAAAAACTGGGGCTTTCCATCTACCTAAAAAAAAGTTCAGCAACTTTGAGCTGAACCCCCCAAAAACGGGGATAGATCACTGCTAGTTTTTAATTCTGAAAGTAGATAACAGTCTCTTGAGAGTTGTCCACCCCTGGTATAAGGAATGAACCCAAAATAAAAGGTATCAATTTGGGTAACAGATATTATAAACTCAAAGGTTTTTAAGAGGTTATTAAGTGATATTATTTGATTTATGTAGTGGTTATTAATGCATGTGTCTGTTATCTATGTATTTATTTGTATATTTGAAATAAAAAATAATACAAAAAAGATTCTCTCTCTCTCTCTCTCTCTCTCTCTCTCTCTCTTTCTCTCTGCAGGTTTCGGGTCCACTGCCACCGCATTGTTAATGATAACGTTTTCACCAACTTGATCCTCTTTTTCATCTTACTCAGCAGCATCTCTCTGGCAGCTGAGGACCCTGTCCGACATACCTCCGTTCGGAATCAAGTATGCCTCCCACCTTTCCTTGATCCTTCACAGCTTATTGAGAATGATGTTCAGCAGCCAGTTGAGGAAAACCTATCCAATCCCCACCCCTGCCTGCACTAGCTTCGTGTTTGTACAGATAAATATAGCTACATCAGTCCATGCTATTGCAGGCTGCACCCCAAATTCATTGATAAATCTCTACATTTAGAATGAATTACACAGTTGAAGCTCTCACATTTTGACTTGCCATGATTTTATGTGGCTTCTGGCATTTGGAGTTTGTTTGGGCAAGATTTATGTGGTCGAAGGGAAGCAAGGAAATGAATGAATGAACAAATGGCACAGAGATGGCAAGCGGTGGCAGGGGGTGCTCTGTCGCAAGAGAACAGGGCCCTGGGGGATTTGACATTTTTCTGCAGGGCCTGCAAGATGGAGCTGTGCTGCTGGGCCTTTGGTCTGGGCCCAGTCTGACCCTCTTCTTTCTATGGGACCCTGTATGTAAGTGGCCTCCTTGGCTCTTTCAATCGTCCCATATGGGAACAGCACAGGTGCCCAGGCCTGATGAACATTTAATTCCTTACTCCTATGGATACGATGTGTGGGTTCCCACTTAATTTTATTTTGTTCTTAAATGTGATTTTGAATTGTATTTTAAATCTAATCATTTGATTTTGTGTTTTTAATGCATTATATATTTGGTGTTAGCCACCCTAAGCCCAGTCTCGGCCGGGAAATAAATAAAATAATAATAATAATAAATAATAATAATAATAATAATAATAATGCTCAAGTTACAAAGTTAAATGCTGGACACAAAATTTTATAATGGGCTTCTTGCTGGTAGGCAGAATACCCACTGCTCTGACTATATTTTCTTTTTGCTGTTTAACTCGGGGAGTGGGTATGTATATCAAACCTTGATGTATATTGCAAATAAGGAAAAGGGACATTAGGATACGGAAGTACCTTCAAAAGCATATTCCAAGATATTGCTTTTATCTTCATTGGAGTGTTCTTCTTTCTGAGTTATGCAGGACCTTACTTAAGGTCCAAAAAAGAAAAAGAAAAAATATTGAATTTACACTATTTACAGTGGGGAGTCAGACATGAGATTCAAAAAAGCCCGCTTTGAGTTCAGTCTGCAAAAATGTAATCAATATGATTCAGGAAGTATACGGTATGTTAATGTTTCTCTAACTGGGCTTTGGGAGGCATAACATGAAGATAGTTTTTTTTTGCATTTGATATATCATATGCTACATTATTAGGGAATTTTGAATAAAATGGTAAAAGCCTAAGGAATGTTATTTAGTGGCCTAATATTAGTGCTCAGAAACTGCAGATACAATCATGCACATAGCTTAATAAATGTAAGCATTTAAAACATCAATTCTATTCCCACTTGCTTGGGAGTAAACCTAACTCAGTGGGACATCTGAATAAATATGCATAAGAACAGGCTGCAAGATTTTCCTCACCATTAAGCATAGTGCTCTCCACTGAAGCAAACTTAAAAACTATCTTTTAAAAGTAGAATAGCACAATATGATGTTTGGGTAACTGTATTGCTAAATAAGCCAGGTTGTAAACTAAAAAGCTCCCGGTGTTTTTGTGTTACATAGAAGCTGCATTCAAAATAATAAACTTTAGGTTAAAGGAAACATATCTCTAAACAGGACTATCAGAGCTGGAGATGAGGGAACAAAACATGTTTTCACAAAATATTTGGATCCTCCCCAAAATTTGCATGAAATACCCTTACCCCACTTCAGCAATCCCTTTATGAAAGTATAAAATACGGAACTGAAGAATAAAAGAAAAAAGTGAAAGAAGAAAAAGAGATGCATTGATTGTCATACCAGTCCAGGGGATAGAAAACAGCTGTGAACCAAATATGACCAGAGTGTTAAACTGGATGCAATGGGATTGCTGGATCTGTGTACAGTTGTTAGAGGTCATCAGTGAATGTGGCCCATAGGAATCCAATTGTACAATCAGCATTACCTAACATCCACACAAAAAACCTTCCAATTTAATTATTGAAAGTAAATCAAAGTTACATTAGAAAACATCTTGTCCTTTGAAAGATTATTCACATTTTTAAAATTACAAACCAGCAAGGAGTTCCACTTGGGCTCCATTCCCCAAGTTCTTAATATGGAGTTGTTTTGAAGCAGTACTGCATCACATGCCATAGGAGTAATACAGATTGTAATGCTGGTGAATTAGACTGACTATATACTTAAACTTTTTTAAATGTAAATTATTTGCATTGTTAGGCATTGAACTTTTTACCTTTTGCACATTCAGTGAAGGAACAAAACAGGCTAGCTTTTTATCTTATTTAGAGACAGTAATTAATAAAGGGCTGCCATACATTTGTTTAGGCACGTCAGTCAAAAAATCACGGTCTTTTGGGGGTCTTCCTAAAAAACACTCAACAACTGGTTTTTACTTTTTGAAATATGGCAGCCCTAAATTAATAACTATTCTATTAGTTTAACAAAGTAGCTTCAGACTTACATGGCACTATACTAAACTGAACCTCAGTTTGCTCATCTTTAATTGCATTGGCACAGAAATGGGCACATAAAGCCTAAATTTGGGGTGAAAGATCAACTGAGTGACCCAGCCTTTCTTTCTGCCTTGGTTAACAATGACTCCCTAAAGTACCTTTGCACATGTTCTGTCCAATGGGCTTTTCATTTGTGATGAAGTTTCTGTACTTCTCTAGAGACGATAACTCTGTAAAGCTTAATCAAACTTAACAGTGAAGTTAAGCCATGAGGAACACAATCACAAATTGTACTTCTAACAATGTAGTTAACAGTATTCAGGGAACAGAAGATTTTACTCTTAACATAGAGCTCTTTTGGCATTCTCATTTGCATAATGTTGAGTAGCAGCCCCACTATAACTCCTGGTCAGTTCAGGTGGAGTGAGGATGAATCTTGCAGCTTAATCTTACCCATGTTTACTCACAAGTGAGTCTCACTGGTTTGAATGGCAAGTATGCTTGGGATTGTAAACCTGATAAAATGAAAGAAAATATTTCAAGAGATGGTTCTCCAAACATTGTCTTACAGCAACATAAGCTCGATCAATAACTCTTGGGCTTTTTTGTTCTATGGAGGTGAAACATAAAGTACCTACTATACTCTTATTGACCCTGAGAACATGATACAATTGAATAAATGAACTTGCAGACACTGCAAAGCAGTTTGAAAACACATTTTCTATTTATCTGCAATAGGTACTCCTACTGTAATAGGTACTTGATCAAAACTTGAGCAAAAAGGGTTAATAGGGAAAGGAGTTGCACATGTTCTGCCAGAAATCAAGTATATTTATATTTTTTGATTGGAGTTTAATTTGGGAAATGTTATAAATTTCTGTTGTTTGACAGGCAAAATAGTGAAAAAAGAAACATGCCATTTAAATGTGCTGCTTGTAGCCTGATCATTGCCTTCACCAAGAAGTGTTTGTAAGCCAGCTCCTCCCTGTGCCCCCTTCCTCCTCCCCTCCAACTGAAACAGTTGTGCTTTCTGATTTTGAATTGTGTTTTGCTTTTGCAGTGGTCACTCACAGATCTCCACTCCCCCTGCCCCTTATTCCCTTTTGTTTTACAGATTCTCTTTTATTTTGATATATTTTTTACTGTCATTTTCACCATTGAAATTGCTCTGAAGGTAAAGTCCCCATCTTCTCTTCCATTATCTTCTCACTCATGAGCCCACTAGTTCTCTGCTGCTATTTGTCGCTAACACACACGCCTGTTTTTGTCTTGGCCACGCTCAGTAACCACTAACCCAACTGTGCTTATTTTTCAGATCCTAGGCAATGCAGATTATGTCTTCACTAGTATCTTTACATTAGAAATTATTCTTAAGGTAACCAATCTGAGCAATACACTTCTCTCTCTTGCTTTTGCTTTGTCTTTTGTACCGCTTTAAATCCCTAGTGTGATCTCCACAGACAGGTCATACTTCCTAGCTCAGCAGTAACTGTATGTGCTTTCAAAAATGGCTCTATTTTAATATTAAAGTCCCATTGGTTCATATAATTGTTTAGTCCCTTGCCATGTATAATTAACCCCAAAAAGGTCTTATGGCATGGAACACAGTATGTATTCACCACTCTTGGCAGTAATACCTGCTTATCCCAGTGGAAAAAGATGAATTTTTCTGGTGAGTCTTCCTTGTGCAGAACTTACACAAAACAATATGTCTTACAAGAAACATACTGTATAGGCCATAAATAGTCCCTTCTCTCACTGCAGACTATTTGGCATCCATACTATTTTGTGCTCTTCTGTTTTAAGTAGGAGTAGGTAACAGAATATCTACACAACACTATAGGCCTACCAACGTATGGCATTCCTAGCCAAAATTTGTGCACCTCAAATGATTGATCCACTAATGTTTGCCTGGAACTGCAAAAATGGGAGGGAGGAATTACCAAGTTCCTGGCAAGCCAGTTAATGGCTGGTGAGCTGCATTCCGTTCTAGATTGCTCAGGCCCTTAATGGAGGAACAGAGGAAAGCTGGTCACTAGAAAGCTGGTCATTAAGAGTCAAATTACACATTACATCCCCAATTGCTTCTTTTCCTAGGAAAAACACCTTCAGGAATGGGGAATTTTCCACAGAAAAGCAGGAAGGGGCATTTAACCCTTACCCTGCCTGCTACTTTTCTACTGCAATGTACAATATATATATCCTTGCAAAAACTCCTTTGAGTCCTTGCATGAGGGTGAAGTGGTTTGGAGTGTTGCACTGGTTAACTACTCCTTCCCCACCCACCATCATAGTTTCTCTGCAGTAATTCACCTATGACTCCTCTATGATGTTAGATGTGCTCCTTAGTGACCATAATATGGAACCTTTAAACCTAGAGAAAATAGCATTGAATTGCTTCTGTTGCCACTCACTGTATGTGACAATTCCCTAATACACTCAGACATTTTAGTACCTACTGGTTAAATTGTGAAGTTGGAACTTAACTTTAGAGTCTGCTTCTCAAAAAGACCTGTTCCTTAAATGCATAATTTATTTTTCAAGTCTATGCTGCCTCATTTCAGTTAATAATTGCACCTGTGTTATTTCCCCCAGGGTGAAACCTAACCCAAGAGGCTACTTGACAATACACCAAAACATTCAGATACAAAGTAGACTGCAGAGAAAATAAATATAAGCTCTCTTACACTTTGCATTCATTTAATATTTTAAAGATAACTAAGGAGCACTTTGTCTTTCTTAATGTATAGGTGTACCCATTAAATTTTGACATAGATCTACAAACAGCAAAGAAGAATATCATACTCCTCATTCCTTCCACTAATTTACACAGGCACTGTTCAAACACTTACTACTCTGGGCATAACTACACATTAACTGTTAATATTAAACGCAAATCATGACTGGGAAGGGAAAGGTTAAACCTTCCCACCCCATGTGCTGAAAATCCCCTTGCCACTTTGTATTGATTAAAAAACTTGAGATGACACAGTACCCGACACAATTAACAAATTGAATTGTGTCGTTAGGCCTTCTCCTATCACATAGGTACATTCACTGTGTCAGTACTGACTATACAAACACAATTAACTATGGAAAGGTCATACGTGTATAAAACACATTCCCCAATTGCAAGTTGCCTATTTATCCCACAGGGATTAGATTATCAACTTCCATGCTTTCCTCTAAAGATACCAGTTAATTGTAAAGAAAAATTCCAATGGCAATACTGCCTTAAACAAAAGCTGCAACCAAGTTATGCAGCAATTTGCTATGCCAATGAATTTCTTGGCAGGGATAGATAAACACACCTTGTATGGTACTGAAACTCAACAGAGCTCCCCATTCTGATTTCAATGGTGTCTCCTCCTTTCCTTTAAGATTGCCATGCAAAATCAAGCCCTAAGAAGCATCTTTACTACCTTTGTTATGGCAAGAACCCCCCTTCCCCCAACCAACTATATATTTTTGTATAAATTCTACTCAAAGAGCAGAGTTTATACTTCCTTTCTAATTTCTGTCTGATAGATCAGTAGTCAGTTCTTCCTGATGTGATTTGGTTTTTGATGACTTTATATTTAATTTATTTCCTACCCCATCAGCACAACTTTGATAAGAAATGGCTGGAAATTGCTAGGCTTTCTGGCCTGAAAATACCCTGAGTTTGTTGCAGGAATTCAGGAATGCAGCAAAGGTGGTTGGTTCTTCACATTCCAATGAGTTCTTGTATGACCATTCTTATTTCTGATGTGTATATTCAAACATAAGGGGGTCACACTGGAGTCTGTTTTGCAGGTAATGTTTTCCTTATTGCAATCAGTCATGGCTTTCTATATATTTCTTCATATATAAAGATATAGCTATAACTGTTGGGTCTTTTGGGTTTGCCATGGTCCAATAGATAAATGCAAAATAAGCAGACAAAAAAGCCAGGGATACAGCTACTTCCAGTTACCAAATGGATGATCTAAAAATGAAGAGAGGACTCAGGAATATAATTGCTACAGCTATAGATTCTGTGCATGTCTTTACCTGCTGAAGCATACATAAGGAAGAGTATGACTTTTTGCTCTCTAGAGGAAAATGTTACTTGAAAAAGCTATCATTGGAGAGCTCAGTTCTGATCTGATCTAGATAACACTTCTCGACCACTATTTTATGTGTTCCAAAACTGGGAGAGGTTGTAAATTTTGCTTCAGACCCATCTCAGTTATCACTGTTTGTAAATACCAATGTAAAGATCCATTTTTTTGCAGGCAGGTGGTAGCCTTTGTGATACTAGTATTAAGAGAAGTAATCTAATTTGTATTGAGCTATATTGTCAAAACTATAATAATAAGATAGGAGCAGGGATTTAATACTCAATTCAGCCTGAATGAGTAATGCTTTAAAAAATGACAGCCTTGCTAAAAACTGCTAGGTCCTCGATCTAGTAGGCCTCTCTTGGGAAAGAGTTTCACAGTGATGGGACCACTCTGAAAAAAACCCTTCATCTTGCTATCATTAGTCTAACTTCCACCAAAGGAAGTACATAGAGGAAGATAAAAGTAAATGATAATATGTGGAGCTGCTTACATGGGAGAATGTAATTTCCAGTCTCTGTAATTTCCAATATGCAATGTAACAACCAAGGGCTGGACACTATTTGCAACCTCTCCTTACCTATGTTCCCCCCCCCCCTGAAAACTATCTCTTCTTTTCACCTCTTTTTTAATGAAACTTTGCACTTAAAACCTTGCACTATTCTGCAGTGTTACATTACTCCCTCCTCTGCCTGCTCTAAGCAAGAACTTGTGGCAAGCGCTAACAGCAAAGTTTGTTTGTGTCTCCATGTGATTGCCTGCAGATGACTGCTTATGGAGCTTTCCTTCACAAAGGCTCCTTCTGCAGGAACTACTTCAACATCCTGGACCTGCTGGTGGTTAGCGTTTCTCTCATCTCCTTTGGGATCCAGTGAGTGAGCTATTTTCAGCTGGGAAAATATAGTGTTTATAAAGAGTGGGGAAGGGGATATGGAACGAAGGGAAAAGTCAATCAAAAAAGGAAACAGACACACCTCACTAGGGAGGATGTTCTACAACCGCATCACTGAAAAGGGTCTGTCTCAGGGCAACACCAACCAGGCAGCCCCCAGTGGCAGCAGCACCAACAAGGCCCTGTCTGCCAATCATAGGTTCCTTGTTGGGGAAAGCACTCTTTTAGGTACTTGAGTCCCAAGCTGTCTAGTTTCTTATACACATTGAATATGACCAGTAGCTCAGTAGCAGAGCTTTCAGGACAGGTGACACATGGTCCCATCATGAGAGCCAGTGTGGTGTAGTGGTTAAGAGCGGTAGTCTCGTAATCTGGGGAACCGGGTTCGCATCTCCGCTCCTCCACATGCAGCTGCTGGGTGACCTTGGGCCAGTCACACTTCTTTGAAGTCTCTCAGCCCCACTCACCTCACAGAGTGTTTGTTGTGGGGGAGGAAGAGCAAGGAGAATGTTAGCTGCTTTGAGACTCCTGAAGGTGAGTGAAAGGCGGGATATCAAATCCAAACTACTCCTCCTCCTCATGTTGCCCCAATTACCAACCAATTACTACACTAGCTGCAGCCTCTAGACCATCTTCAAGGGCAACCCTAAGTAGAGTGCATTACAGTAGTCCAGTCAGGAGGTCACCAGAGCATGGATAACCGAGGTCAAGCTATCATCATCCAGGAACAGACTTAGTTGGCAAATCTGCCTAAGCTGGGCAAAAGCATGCCTAGTCACAGAAGCTGCTTGAGACTCCATTGGCAATCTGGAATACAGGAGTATTCCCAGAGTGCAAACCTGTTTCTTAAAGGGAAGTTCAACCCTTCCCAGAACAGTTTTACATCAGACATGAGAACCACTTACACAAAGCACTTCTGGCTTACCAGGATTCAGCCTCATTTTTTTGGCCACTATCCAGTCCATCACTGCTTCCAGACACCTGTCCGACACCTTCATAGCCTCTCCTGATTCTGATGAAATGGGCAGATAAGAGTTCCTTGTCATCAGTTTACTTATGGCACCATGCTCCAAATCACTCTATGACACCTAGATGTTGAATTGCTCTGTGTGTGTGTGTGTGTGTGTGTGTGTGTGTGTGTGTGTGTAGCAGTGTAGCCAGCACCAGGCATCAAAAGAAAGCAGGTGCACAGCAATTTTATCTCTTCCTATTTATTTAAGCATAGGTTATTTGTACTGTGACACCAGGACTCCACAATACTTTCATATTTTTGCAGTTTTAAGGTTCAGGCTGTGATTGCTGTGCTAAACCTTTGCTCAGTTCCACAAAAACAGCATAAGCAGAAAGTATGTGGGAATGGCTACCTCACAAATAAGTGACATCAGTGTAGCACATTACCATAGTGCCATAGTGTATTGAAGGTGATAGTGGGGCAGGGGAGGAACATTCCTTGTATGAACAGTTTTGGGATAGCTGCTGGAAGCTTCAGATAACACACAGATTGCTTCTTTTGCCATGTGGTCATGGCAAAATATTTTGAGAGTGCAAATAATTATAAATGCACAATAAAAAGGCTGTCTGGCAAAGGTCCCAAATCAGCTAAATAACACACTTATGCAAGACCTCAGTATTATGTTTTTATATGTGTTGGAAGCCATACAGAGTGGCTTGGGAAACCCAGACAGATGAGCAATGTCTTATTTATTTATTTATTTATTTTATTATAAAATGGAAATAGATATTACCCCCTTCTCCATTTTTTTCATTGTGCAAAATGGCAACTAAGGCTTACATTTCCTTTTTGCGTTTTTGTGAATTTTTAAAAAAGCTGTACAGCCTCATGCATGTACACCTGCATGCATGCTCAGAACAGAAGAAGCCACTGGAGAGCATGGGAGGAGTGACTGAGGGGAGTGGGGGAACCCACATTCCAGATACATTCTGTCAAGCTCCTTCCACTGGTGTGGACAGCAAGTGGCAAAATACCAATGCATATCCATGACTGAAAAAAATGGGAATGTGTGGAAGCTAACATATCAAATGTGCATACAGAAAAACCAGGCCTTCACGACCCATTTGCAATATAAAAACCCCATCTGAAAGCACACTTAGGTGCAATAAGACTTGCAAACTAGGGGTTTGGACCAAAAGCTTCATGGAAAATGTGGGTGTTGAGGAGGGTTTCACTCAGACCTTATCAGTTTGTGTTTCAAACCTGAAGGAAATGACAGAAATAGGATTCATGCAGATACTCTGGGAGGCAGTTCAAGCATACAGGACACCAGGTGATAAAGGGGAAAGTCTTTTGAGAGAACAAGAGACTTGCAGACATCTGAAGGTAATGGAAGTGGAGGAGCAAAGGTCATGGACAGGAACATATCAGGAAAATTAATCAGAATGAGAAGGGGGAACAAGACTATAAAGGGCTTTTAAGGTAAGGACCAGTAGCTTGTGCTGGATCTGGTAGCAGACAGGAAAACTGTAGGGATTTAAGAAGGGCTGTCTAGTGTTTAGCGTAATGAGAGAGATGAATGATTTTTCAGCATAATGCTGGATAGATATTAGGGGACCAAGATGAGATGATGAGAAACACCAGAAAGGAGAAGATTGGAATATTCTTGGTAAGAGATTGCTATGTAACTGTGCCCCTGAAGGACCAGGTGCGCAGCCTGGAAGTCATTTTGGTAACTCTCAGCTGTCCATGGAGGCGCAGGTCAATTCTGTATCCAGGGCAGCTGTCTACCAGCTCCACCTGGTACGCAGGCTGAGACCCTACCTGCCCGCGGACTGTCTCGCCAGAGTGGTGCATGCTCTAGTTATCTCCCGCTTGGACTACTGCAATGCACTCTATGTGGGGCTACCTTTGAAGGTGACCCAGAAACTGCAACTAATCCACAATGCGGCTGGGGGCAGCCGCCAAGACCATATAACACCGGTTTTGAAAGACCTACATTGGCTCCCAGTACGTTTCTGAGCACAATTCAAAGTGTTGGTGTTGACGTTTAAAGCCCTAAACGGCCTCGGCCCAGTATACCTGAAGGAGCGCCTCCACCCCCCATCATTCTGCCCGGATGCTGAGGTCCAGTGCCAAGGGCCTTCTGGTGGTTCCCTCATTGTAAGAAGCAAAGCTACAGGGAACCAGGCAGCGGGCCTTCTCAGTAGTGGCGCCCGCCCTGTGGAATGCCCTCCCATCAGATGTCAAAGAGATAAACAACTACCTGACATTCAGAAGACATCTGAAGGCTGCCCTGTTCAGGGAAGTTTTTAATGTGTGACATCTTAGTGTATTTTTGGTCTTTGTTGGAAGCTGCCCAAGGTGGCTGGGGAAACCCAGCCAGATGGGCGGGGTTCAAATAAATTATTGTTGTTATTATTATTATTATCATTATTAGTCATGGATCATAGTTTTTGCTGAGATGACAGAGAGGGCATGGAAATGCAGGATGAGGGAGGGAACAAGGACACAAGAGAAAGTGGATTATAGAACAGCAAGAAAGTTGCCTCTTCAACATACTGACCTAGCTCTATCAGCCTCTTGAAGTGAGCAGGGACTAAGCTATGTCTATACTGGTTCTGTAGTACTTAGTTCTAGGTAGAAGCAAGCTGTAGGCTGAGTGAAGTGCCTTTAAAAGCACAAGTCACTGGAGAGTTAACTGACATGCTGCTTTCTCTGAATTGGCATTTTGGTGAAGTGCTTCATAGCACCATTATCTTACACTGCCCTTTGATGACTGCAGCTTGGCACCATTTTTGTAATATGTCTGCATTGCATTTGGCAGCCTGTTCCGTCTAAAGGAGTCCCTATTTCCCCCTTTTTGTCAACACAATATTATGTATTCAGTTCAACAACAGAGTAGCCAACAGTTACTTCCCCTACCCCCCAGTGACTTACTCATAAATTCAGTATCTAAACTAGTACACTACTAAATTGCAGAAAAAGAAAGTGCACAATTCCGTTAAAAATTAAGGCTTGGGACAATATAAATGTCAAAAGAATAAGTTAATGCTACTGTGAAATATTCCCACCTTCATTAGCCACCATGGTACATCTGCCTTGCAGCAATCAAATGAACAAAGACTGTTGCCAGGACCCATAAACTATTAAATAATAAGATGTCACATTCAGGGTTTATGAATTATTAAAAAACATAAGTATACCAAAGCATATAATTATTCTATTACAAATTGAATTGCTTGTATTTTAGGTTATTTAAACAGGTATACCATGTTGCCACATTTTTTTGTCTCTATAGTACAGTATCTAGCTAGTCAATGGAAATGCTATGGGGAAAGTTTTGTGTCTTTTGTTAATGCTAGTCATATATTCTGCAAACATTTCTCTGAAGAGAACAACCTAGAAGAAAGGTAGTATGATGTAGCAGATAGTGGGGTAGCATTGATCAGTGAGATCTGGGTTCGAGTTCTGCACAGACATAAATTACAAGTTGTAATGCACATTGAACTTCAACTAAAGGCCACTATTAGTCCATAGATTATTCCCACAAGAATTGTAAAGCTTGATCTCCTACTGCTGTTCTTTTCCAGGTCTAGTGCCATCAACGTAGTGAAGATACTACGAGTCTTGCGAGTTCTCAGACCACTGAGGGCTATCAACAGAGCCAAAGGATTAAAGGTTAGAAGACATATAAAGATGAGATGTTAACTTGCTTTATGTGGCTTTACATCACTACTCTAGAGCAAGTAGATGAATAAATTGGTTTTCCATTCTCCTGATTTTAGTGGGATATACTGTAATGCATATCTTTGCTGTGCATAGACAATGACCAAGGGTTCGTTGTGGGTGAAAGCTGATTTTGTCCTCAAGGCAACATTGTATTTTTCATTTCTTCATAAGCATTAATGACAGCCTGCCATTTTTATTGCAGAAAGCAGAGGGCATATTTAAGGGCATCACTAGAGTGGGTTTAACACTACCTGCTGGGGTAAAAGTTTGGTTTTGCTCCATCTTAACATCTTTCCAAGATTTCAATCTACTTACTTTGTCTCAAAGAATTCAGTGAGAGCTATTCTACTCTGGTTCCATTTCTTTATGATCCTGGAATATGGCAGAACCTTGGAAACTGGCTTTTGAGTAGCAGCATGTCCAGCAGTGTGACAGAAGAGGGGAGAATCTGTGTATTGCAAGGATTTGTGTATTCCTGTGTACTGCTCAGGATCCCAGCCAGTACACAGGCCATCCTGTGATGGGGCAAAACTGTTCCTCCCTCCTACACCCACACACCCACCCACTTTGGGGTCTGATGCAGCTCATGGGTTCAATTTGCCACAACTACCACTGCTTTGGAGACATAGTCTCATCCAGCTGTAGGAAAGACAGACAATTCTACCTATTGTGGCATAGCGAGGATAACGACACTTGCTTTTTGTTTGCAAGTGCACAGTCTACAGACCATGGATTTCCTTTTCTATTTCATAGAGATACCATGTGGACTTACAGGAAGATGGCAATATAACAAGATTACATTCATTCATTTATTTACATCAAATCCTAATACCATTTAAAAAGCAACCATTTAACTCACTCGTTTCTGTCTTTCTTTGCAGCATGTGGTTCAGTGCGTGTTTGTAGCCATACGTACCATAGGGAACATTGTGATTGTCACCACGCTGTTGCAGTTCATGTTTGCCTGCATTGGAGTCCAGTTGTTCAAGGTATATGCCCTGGAACCTATTTCTCACTTTTTCCTCATTAGTTATTGGGAAACAAGTTGCAGATGTTGGGGGGGGGCGGAGGTGAAGCATAGCCTGGTACTCTGCATATATTCAGTATTGCCTCACAGGAATATTAAAGTGACTTATCTGGTTATCTTAAACTTGGTAAAGTAGAGTGTCTGGATGTTCATCTTTGGATCAAGATTTAGAATTAGGGTCAAGCCCAAATTATTCCCTTTCCTGTTATCTTAGACCAGGGATTGCCAATCCAGGGTTCATGGGTGCCAGACTAGTGGCCCCTTTGTATTTCTTTTTTTTTTAATGGTGGGCACTTCCATCACCTGTGGAGGGATTTTTCTGATTGCCAGGAGGGAGTGCCCAAGTATGCGCTCTCTGTGTGTGCGATTAAAAGGGGTGGACTTGGGCAGAGAGTGAGGCAGAGGTGTGTGTGGCCTGTGTGTGTGGGACAGGGAGAGAGATGTAGGCTTATGTGGTCTGCGAGAGATGTATACAGTGTGTGGGTGTGGGAGAGGGAGAGGGGTGTGTGTGGTGTGTGATCCGTTAGAGAGGGAGGGAAAGATACACTTGGGCAGAAAGGGAGAGGTGGATGTGTATATGTGAAGTGTATTAGCGTGTGGGAGAGATGCATGTGTCTGTGACCTGTGTGTAGTCAGAATACGCAAGAGAGACAGTATGTGTTGTTTACTTTTCCTGGTACTGAGGAATGCTTCCTATTGTTACTGGAGAACAACAGCATTAGTTTGTGTGTGGAGGGGGGTGGAATTAACATGAGATCTCCATTGACATGACCAGAAGGACATAGGTGACTTCCTATGGCAAGCATGAGGTTGTCTGAGTGTGTGTGTGTGTGTGTGTGTGTGTGTGTGTAGAAGCAGTTGTTGTACACTCTCTAATTTTTAGTTATGCCATGCCCCCCACAGCAGCCATTTTGTGACTGGCACTCACAGGACTTTCTCAGAATTCAAAATGTGCCCACTGTTCCAAAAAGGTTGGTGAACCCTAGCTTTGATTCCTTCCTTTTTGCAGCCATTTTCCAGGAAACATTTTAATCATGTTTCAAATGCCCCTATTGTTTTCAGAAACATCTACGTACATTATTTGAACATATTGGGGGCAGGGGGAATAGAGATGTGCATGTTTGCTCCACCATCACTGTGCCCCCTGCAACAACTCCACTTCATAGGATATTCCTTCAGACCTTTACTGAACAAATAGAGGCAGTGGGGAGAGCATGTAATATGGTAGATAGATGTGGCCCACCTTTCCCCTTAACAAAGGATGTCTACAAGTTATGAATTCAGGGAAGAGTCTCTGAAACAGGAGGTGCACCACATAATTTAGAATGATTTGCTTTTGGAATAAAATATATTGAGTCTTATGCCATCTTCAAGTTTGGGAATAAAACAAACCTAAAGAATATATTCCTTGACCAATTAGTAAATGCAAAAAATTAAGTCAGTGTAAACACAATGTATTTCTATAGTATCTGTTGATCCGTGATGGGGACATGAGCTCAACCATTTTAAAAAGTTGATTTCTTAAAGATGCAAAGGAAAGGTCAAGTTTGTTTTCAATATAGGCACATTTTTGTTTTAAAGAACAATATAAAAAACCCTCAAACTTGCAGTAACTACTGCTGAACAAGTGTATTGGCAAGGCAGCTACAGCAAATGCTTACCTCTCCATAATGGTATGGGAGAAGGCCTCTCCTCCTCCCAGTGGGGAGGAGTTGTGAGCGGGAGCAGCTTCCTGCAGTGGCAGGGAGGCGTATTCGGCTGGTGGGCGGGGTTTAGCTGCATTTAAGCAGCCACAGCAGCGCTCTGACCCCAGTCGGTTCCTGCTTGCATCGGATCTCCCTCCCTCCCTCCTTTTAGGTCAGTTTCCTCTGCGTATTGACCTTGCTATGGACTTCGGTTGGTTGACTTTTTTATCCATTTGGCAAACTGGCACCAGCCTCTTGGTTTTTTCGCCTACCTCGTAGCAGCTCGTCACAACTTTTTTGGTATTGGTGGTTAGGCATTGGGATATGTGTACTGTGTTGGAGGATTGGGTATGGCCATCATCTACCCCTCCTCTTGGGTATTCCGTTAAAGGAATCCAGCGGTCGTGGATCCTGCTGGTGGTGACATGACCCTAGGTGATGTCATGGGGAAGCTTCCAGTTGTATTTGCATCAACAAGCTCCTCCCACTGGTTGTTAACCCCTGAAATGGCTCCCCGCTGAGCGGGGTGGAGTCATATATTGCTGTTTTATCCAAAGCCAATACCACTCACATGCTGTAACCAATAAAGTTGTGGCCTAATTTAGCCCATTAACCTAAAATAATGTGTCTTTGTGACTTATTATAATCCTATGTGGGTGGCAGGTCCTCGACTCACAATGTGATGCTAATGACCAATACCTAAGATGAAGGTCTACCAGGCTTACATGTTGAGCCTGCTGCTTTATGGAAGTGAGTCACTGGCAACTTATACCCACCAAGAGTGATGTCTCAGTGCCTTCCAAATGCACTGTTTCAGAAAGATTTTGGCACAACATGACAGGTCAAAATCTCAAACAAAAAGGTGCTCTATCAAATCCACATTCCAGCATATTCACACTTAACGTCTCAGTGACAGCTAAACTGGTTTGGCCATGTACACAGAATGGAAGATTGCAGCATCCCCAAGCACATGCTTTATGGGGAGCTGGCTTCCGGTACTAGGCCTGTTGGCAGACTAACTCTGTGTTACGAAGGTATCTGCAAACGTAACAGGAATCCTGGCAACAATAACCTTGCCGTATGGGAAACACTTGTAGATGATCACAGTGCCTGGAGACAGACAGTTAGGTTGTGTATCCACAGCAGTGACCAGATGAGGAATGACCACTGGGAGGAGTGCAGAGAGTAGAAACACCATGGTGTACCTGTAGCAGAAAAACTGGATACCTCCTTCTGTCCCACCTGTAATAAAACCTGTCTCTCCCATATTGGTCTCTACAGCCACAGCAGGCACTTGTAATTCTCAAACGGTTTGACTTTACCCCTAAAGGCACACCCTTTCATTGTCTTCTGAAACAGACTGGTGCCAACAACTACTACCACCGCCAACTTAACTAGACTCTACTCTAACCCATCTGTGTTGTGATGTCCCATATACAGGCTCTGTGACTTAGTTCAAAAATCAAATGCAAGGAAATCAATATAAGGAAAGAGATATGGCCTTGGTCCAAACAATGTGGTGGGCAGGGCAATAGCTACATATATTTAACATCTAAAATGCTAATAGATAAAGAAAACACAAAGCAATTATTTTTTCATGTGACACTAAAAATCAGTGATCAGTAATTAATGGTGATTTTTCTGTTTTTATCCTCGTCCAGGGCAAACTATATAGTTGCACTGATAGCTCCAAGCAAACAGAAGCAGAGTGCAGGTAAGCGCATCATCTCTGATCAGCATTCCATATTAACTGGACCTAATGCAAAAAACTCATTTCTGTATATTTGTTTCTCCCTTTTCCTTCCTTCTTCTGACAGGGGCAATTTTATCACCTACAAGGATGGAGAAGTGTCTCAACCAATTATCCAGGCTCGAAGTTGGGAGAACAGCAAATTTGATTTTGACAATGTCCTCACTGCCATGATGGCCCTCTTCACTGTTTCAACATTTGAAGGCTGGCCAGAGTGAGTACATAAGGCTAATTCATAAAACCATTTTTATTTGGTGGACTCAAAAGGAGCCTTGAGAATGCATCAGCATGAACAAATTATATCGTCTTAGTTCAACCCCCTTTTTCAAAAGCTCTACAAGAGATTATGACTTTCATTTTTGACACTTAATGAAGCATTCACAAGACAGGTTCAATATGCCAAAACCTGGAAACTTTCTAATGCCATGTTCAGATATTGCCTTCTTATGCATGCTTCTAGCAGCTCAGGAAGTATCCTGGATGACAGCAGGGATCATTCTTTTATCTTGGGATGCTTCCGTACTTGTTGTCTGAAACTGGTGACACAGACTGTACAGTTCAAGGTACTCCTATACTCGTTGCTGTCAGCCTTGTGATTTGCAGAGTCTAGTGTGGACAGAAGCACTCCTCAGATCAGTGTACCCAATCCCTGCAGCTAGGGGCTCCTGGAAGTGCCCTTAGTGTCTGTCTTGGGTTCTCTCCTTTTTTTAGACTGCTGTACCGATCCATTGATTCCCATATGGAAGATGTGGGGCCCATTTATAACCACAGGGTGGAGATCTCTATTTTCTTCATTATCTACATCATCATCATCGCTTTCTTCATGATGAACATCTTCGTTGGTTTCGTCATCGTCACTTTTCAGGAGCAAGGAGAGCAGGAGTACAAGAACTGTGAGCTGGACAAGAACCAGGTAATATAAGTGCTCCATGGTGTGGCCAAAGAAATAAAATACATTCCTTTAGGAGGTAAAATTCTTCTAATAGGTAAAGTAATGTTTTTGATAGAAGCTAATGTACAAGCCTAATTCTGATGCCACATATCTTTAAACAAGTTGATGGTTCTGTTCACTGAGGAAAGAAAGTTCCTTGTGGGAAATTTTGGTTGGAAGGTGAAGAGATATATTTGATTTTATACCCTGCCCTTCCTTCCAAAGGAGCCCAGGGCAATTATTGTAGACACATACTGGGTTGTAGTCAACTACCTGTTACAGTGGTACCTCGGGTTAAGTACTTAATTTGTTCCGGAGGTCCGTTCTTAACCTGAAACTGTTCTTAACCTGAAGCACCACTTTAGCTAATGGGGCCTCCTGCTGCTGCTGCGCCACAGGAGCACGATTTCTGTTCTCATTCTGAAGCAAAGTTCTTAACCCGAGGTACTCTTTCTGGGTTAGCAGAGTCTGTAACCTGAAGCGTATGTAACCCGAGGTACCACTGTACTTAGAGGAGACCCATTGAAATTAATTGTCATCTTCCTGGTTTGTCGCTGACTACTACGGAGTGCAGATCTAGCCCTCTGGGGAAGATATGAGCTTTGTGGGGGGATAGAGGTCACACAAAGGCGCTGTGGACCTCAAAACCCCTGAAAGGATTTGTTTTGGGTGCATGGGATCTGGCTGCGCTCTGGGCGATCTCTCCTGTCTCCTGGATCGCTCTGTAAAGAGTGGAGAAGAAAGACAGGATTGAGGTGCAAGTGCTGGGATCCATCACTATCTCCACAAAGTGAAGCCTCTGGCTCCGAGTGGATTTAGCGGCAGGCTTTTCAGAACATAAAAAGCCGAAATTTAAATTGATGATTTAAATTTTGAGCGATTTGGATTGATTTGGAAAATATTCAGTGTGAGATGGGATGGAAAAAGGAAGTCCTCCCCAGCTGTGCTGAGACATAATTTGCTTGGAGCTTTTCTATAAATCTTAAAGTTACTTTTAAACTTTCCCTGCTAAGTGGACCTTTTTGTAAGTTAATTCCACCCATCCCCGATATAATGGAGGATGGAGTTTGCTTTATTTTAAGTTTTCTCTTTTTATTTTTTGTATTGAAGTGGACTGCTATTTTGATAAAACTTTGATAAATACTGTTTTAGTGCACAATTGATATACTTTCTTACTGGCAAGACCAAGAGTTAAAAACAGGCAAACTGTCCCTTATTGCTTCTCCCCTGCCCCATCCTTGGGGAGGCTACAGCGAGATTGGAGAGGGGGTGCCACACAGAGTATTTTCCAATTTGCATTTTAAAGCCTTTTGATCAATCAGATCGATCGGCAGACTGTGATTTTATCTGAGCTATCTTGGAAATATTTTGTTTTTCTTTCTTTTTTTACCACCTCCTCCCCTTTTGTCCCATTTTGAGTTAAATACAACCCACTGGTTTTTCATATTTGTTTTTCAAAATTTATATGATGTAACCTATGGATAGTGGCAGCTGGTGTTTAAAAGTGTGGATAGAGCACTCCCAAATTCCTCCTACTCCTAAAGAGGTATCTCCTGGATTCTTACATATGATGCATACAAGTTCTTGTCATAGCTTGATTTTTTAGTGTGAGAAACTGATTACCACCAGTGATAATTTCCAGAAGAATAGCATTAGTCAGTTGTAGCAAAAATAACAGTACATCTTATGACTCCTTAAAGACTGACAATTTATCTAGGGTTGCCATGTTTTGAAGAGCAAAAAAGAGGACACTATGACAGCCATTCAAAGCAAATACATGCAATCTGTCTCAAATTTTACCCCCGAAAGAAGGGACGTGTCCTGGAAAAAGAGGACACATGGCAACCCCCCCCCCAAATATAGCATAACTTCTTGTGGAATGCTGAGTAGCAGTCTCATTGGTTACATCTGGCACAATTAACTTAGCCACGGTGTCATGTTATTATCTACAACACCACAAGGCTTTGTTATTATTAAGTTGTGCTATATTTACAAAAACACCAACTTGCAATGGTCTTTTGCTATCACCTACCCTAGAGGACAGGAGCCTCTGTTTTGAAATTTTATGATCTAAAAGATTGAGTTGAATTGTCCAGAAACTTTTTTGTCACACAAGTATCATCTAACCCACTGTTCTTTCTTAACAGCGCCAGTGTGTCGAATATGCCCTGAAGGCCCGCCCCCTTCGGAGATATATCCCAAAAAACCAGTACCAGTACAAAGTGTGGTATGTGGTGAATTCCACCTATTTTGAATATTTGATGTTCATCCTCATCCTGCTGAACACCATCTGCCTGGCCATGCAGGTAGGTCTGAAGTCAAAAGGAATTGCATTCTGGTTGGAATATTCATTGTGCAGGAAAACATTCTCCCCGACTTGAATAGCTTGCTGGAAATGGGGAATATTTAGAATCTCCTGTAAAAGCTGTTTTAACTTGTTGCTTGCTATGGATTAGAGATGTGATTAGAAATGACACTTATTGGCTATGACATTAGTAGTTGTCACATATTCTGATAACTGAGGTATGTGGGTTTTTAAACATAACTATAGTGTTCTCTACTAGATATATAATTGTGGACAACAAGGTGGTATATAGGTATTTGAGGGTGGAGAGTTGAGTATAGTGCTGGAGAACAATAATCAAGAACGAAGTTCCCCATGAGTGATGTAGTATATAGGCTGGAAAAACCTCAGGTCAAATTTTACCCAGTTTAAACTCAGGAAGTAACTTTCAGCAAACTACTATTCTTTCAACCACAGCCCTCTCACTATAATATGAGGATAATAATACTACCCTACTGTATGGAGTCAATGGGTTGTTCTAAAGTTAACTGAGATGAAAAGTGTTTTATACATTTGAAATGAGTTGTATTGTAATTATGGTATGGTTTTAATAGAGTTTAAAGGTATATACTTATAGTCCAAATTCTATCAATGTTTAATTGTTTATTAATTATATTTTTCTATGTTTTTAGCTGTTCTTAATTTTCTCTTTAAGCCACCTAGAGTCCCTGTCAAGAGAAAAGGCTGAGGATAAATTATTATTATTATTATTATTATTATTATTATTATTATTATTATTATTATTATTTTATTTATTTATTTATTTATTTATTTATTTATTTATTTATACTCTGCCCATGGTTGCTAGAAGTACCACTCAGACAGTGCATTGGCTTTCTCACCATGAAGGCAAGAAAGAAGGAAAAAAACCTCCAGGCTTCTAAAGAGGTCATCATATTGCAGTAGATAGAAAACCATACTCTGTGCTGTGAATTAATTAAAAGATAAAGGAATCACAAACCATTGGCGATGAGAACCTCTTTAGAAAACAGATAGAAAGGCAAAGGTGAATATGTGTACAATCCAAACAATATGCTTTTCAAAAATGAAAAATGAGGTGACTTGTTTTTCAGCACTATGGTCAGAGTTGCATCTTCAAAGAAGCAATGAACATCCTCAACATGCTCTTCACTGGTCTCTTCACCGTCGAGATGGTTCTGAAATTAATTGCCTTCAAACCCAAGGTAGCTATTGCCTCTCAGGTTTTCTCTCTGTTCATTGTCCTATGGGGTCAAAGGGAGGACAGGAGGATTTGGAATGAGGTAATAAACCTGGAATTATCTCCCACTGTTCCATCATCTGTTCAGGAGATGGACTTGTGCAGTTGTTGTCTGGACTGGAGTCTCAATCTGTGCTTGGAGGAGGCTTTCATTCTTGGGTTAAGCATAGGGATAGAATAGCCATGCCTCTTAGGAATACAAAATTCCAGCGATTATTAATAATATTTACTCTAGAGCTGGGCCGTAATTCAGTATTTTCACATCTACATATCATACAGTACCGTCTTTGAGGCAGAGAGCCCCCACAAGTTGACATTTCCCATATAATTTTTAAAATGGTTTTTTGAGAATGCCTGCAACATGGTAAAATAACTACATCTGAAAAACATTTTTTTTCAAGATGTTTGTTTACACGGGGTCCTACTGAGTGTGGGTCTCTTTAAAGACCAGTCTTCCACATGAATGTTGAAGGAAACTACTGCCTCATGCTTATTAATCCAGGTCCAAAATGAATGTGTGACTTAGCCCCTAGACTCTGAAGTTTGTTGCATAGCTGGTATTGGCCAGAGAAGGTTATACGTCGGGCCCATAATCAGAATATATTTTGTCTCTATGCATTTGAAAGGTTTCTACTTGTAAGTATTTCATCCCTGATTTTGGGAAGCCTTTTTGTACTACCCCAGTAGAAATGTGTTTTGTCTAGTCTATGAATTGATAAACAGGAAGCTCTTCATTTGCATTTGAATAGTAGATTTTAAATTACAGTCAGTAACAGGTTTTTATAGATTGTTATGGAGCTGCATTTCACTTTTCATATACACTTATGGTTCACCATGCTCTGTAAGACTGACATCCAAGTTTGTGTGAGAGTGAATATCCTACTATTTCATAGGATACTGCAGATAAGAAACTGGGTGTGAGGTCCTGGGTCTATTGAGAGGAGTGTGCCTGTTATTAAATATATTTTTAAATACATAACTGAACCTGATACTGTATTCTCTATCTGTGCTCTAACTCAGCACCCTTAACCAACTAATATTCCCAGGGGCTGGGACACCATTTTCTGGTTTGCCTCAGGCAACAAAGTGTCTTGGGCCAGTTTTCAAGGAGTCCACTACCTGATCCATTGGATTCCTATGGAAAAGGCCTTTCACTACCTGAAGTAACTCCACAGGCCAGCATTGTGTGGATACAATAGTAGCATAGGAGTAAAATTTATTTGCTACCATCACTACAACAGAATAAGCCCTATCACAGACCCAGTTTTACAATTTCTCTCAACTCTACAGAGTACCAAGAAGCTTAAAGGACTCTTCAGTTTGACTGAGATTCTTGGGAGCGATCATATCTATAGCCTGGGTTATCTCCCTGTTACAGGCAAGGAACAGGACCTCAACAGGGATACTGGATAAGGCTCCAGAAAAATCCCCTAGGGCTGCATAAAACCTTTTGTATTCATCAGCTTGCAGGAGGCAGACTGATGAAATTGGTCCTCCATTCTTATGGAGCTTACAGAGGCAAAGAACCTGATGACTGAGAAGCTGAGTGAGAAGATGGTCCAGAAGATGCGAAAGAAGGGGACTAGAGTAGACAATAGTCAGAGGGAGGGGGTTATAGGATGAGACAGAAGGGTGAGATACAAATCACGGATTATTTAACTGTGATTCCTGCATTGCAGGGGGTTGGACTAGATGATCCTATGGGAACCTTCCAATGCTATAACTCTATGAAATGGTGACAGAGCTTCCAAACCATTATATATATAATACACATATACATATATATATATTATATATATATATATGCAGGTTTTGGTGTCCTCGGGTGTCTTCCGTGTAAAAGTTGGGGTGTCTAGGCGACGTTTCGACGAGGTCTCACTCGTCATCTTCAGGCTGGTGCTTTCGGCTTCTTGTTACTGGAACAGAGCAGGATCTCAGTGTTTGAGTTCCTATAAATACTGTTGTGAGGGGGTGTGGTGAACATATGACGAAATACTGGATATGGGGACATAATGTCATCGACGCCCTGGAAGGTTAAATACCTTCGAAAATAAAAAAATATTTTCAACAAAGTGGCTAAAAACAACAACCATGTTGGAATCCCAGATGGTCCCTGCCTGGGCAGGGAGTCCACAGTCTAGATGCTAACCATTGCCTAGCTTATATCCTTTATTGGCCAAATGTAGCTCAGAGGTTAGGACATAGCAGAACCTAACAGATAGAGAGTCTGACAATATGGTGCCGGAGATTGGAACCTGGTGCTCCTTCCAGATGTTTGTTGGACTCCACCTCCCAGATATCCCCAGCCGTAATGCCAATGATGAGAGAGCTGGAATCCAGTAACATATGGAAGGGCACCATGGCTGGGAAATGGGTTGTCCTATAGAAACACAAGAAGATCTGATCTCTAGACAAATGTGAGCACCTTCTTCTCCATGAGCTCAAACAGAGTAGAGCTAAGCTCTCTCTGAGTATAAGAGGAGTTAAGTCCAGTGGTGCAACACTTGCTTTGTACACAGACAGCACTAGGGTTTCAGTCCCTGGTACCCGCCAGTGCAAAGGATAATTAGAGGCAGATTAAATAGTAGAAATATAAAAAATGGCGAGGACCCAGAAGGTCATCTTGGCCACCTCAAGCTAGTCCAATAGCAAGGCTGGAAAATGATTTCCTCCCTTGAGTGTGAGATACATCCAGCTGCTGCTGCTGCGCTGCTGCTGCCTGCGCTGCTGCTGCGCTTCTTCTGTCTTCTTCTTCTTCTTCTCTTCTCTACTTAAACAGCCCTCTGGCCCTGCTGCTCTTCATAACAAGAGTCCAATGGTTTATTAAGTCTAGCAAGATGTTCTCACAGTGGCAAACTAGATACTTACAGGAAGCCCCACAACTGAGGCATAAACTCAATAGCCACTGGACTTCATAGTCCTGTTGTTTTCCAGCACATAGCCATCAGTGGTGGTGGGCACTCACTGAGATTGGCAGGACAGAAGGCAGGGAGACCCAACTGTAGGCGGAGCCAGAGCCAATGACAGAAGGAGCATTCTAAAGTAAGAAGGCAGGCAAGTAGGAGGCTCCTTAAGGGTAAATTGAGGTCAGTGGGGTGCTGTCCCATTCACCCTAGTGGTCTAGCTCCACATCCATTCTTCTCACAACAGAAATTGATACTCTTATCCTCAATGAGTTCCAACCCAGGAGGATGAAGCAAGTGTGTTTTCTGCTGTTGCACGGGATATTCCAAAGAAAAATTCCAACAAAAAATCTTACTTCCAGATTGTAAGAGCTGTTTGACATTGGAACAGACTACCTTGGAAGGTGGTCTGCTAGTTTGGTGCAGTGGTTGGCCAGTTGGACTGGGCCCTGGTAGCCATCCCCACTCAGCCATGAAGTTCACTGGGTGACCTTGAGCCAGTCACTGCCTCTCAGACCTAATCTACCTCACAGGGTTGTTGTGAAGATAAAGTGGATGGAGGGGAGAACCATATACACCACCCTAAGCTCCTTGGATAGAAATGTAAGAAAAAAACCCACTTACATAAAATTGCATTCATGCAATTGGCATCATATCTAATTTGTCCCTTGTACTTTTTGCTAGAGAGATGGTACTTCTGCGAAAGCTCCTTCAACTATGCACCAAACACCATTGCTCTTTCAAAGGTGAGTAAATAATGAGAACTATATGCTCACCTTGAAACGATATCAGCACAGCTGCCACATTCAACTCCTCTTCATTTGCCTCATCTTATCACATGGGCTCCTCTCTGGTGGCATGGTTTTTACACATGCACCAAGGTGACAAATTGCATCTTTCTTCAGAGGACAGAAAGTTAATTCTCAGTATGAGATGTAAGGGCACTTGATTTCTCTCTCTCTCCCTCCCTTTTGAAAAAAAACCAAAACAAAAAACTCACACCATAAAATAGAGCTTTTGTTGTTGCAAACAGATCCATCACCACGGGCTGAACTTTCCCTAATGGTTTTGGTGGCATTTCCAATATTTCTCCCGGGCAGGTGGAGCAGCTGCCACAATAATGTCTCCTTTCAATTGCACAAGGGGAATCAAATCTATCCTGCATATTGCCATTGAAGAATTTAATTTCCACCCCTTTCCTTTTTGTTGCAAACTTCCTGTCCTCTGCAGGAAATATAATGGGCTTTTAGGGCTGAAATGCTAAGCCTTAGTTACAGGCGGGTGAATCTGTCAATTTCAGTTTCTCCCTGTTTCTCATTTTTCCATGGTTCACTTCTCCATATCAGTTTGCAATGCATTTTTTTTTAAAAAGTTCTCTTGGTCATTTGTCAGCATTTTCATGTGAAAATGGCACTTTTTTTGCATGCAATTTTGCCTAACCTATACATTTTTGCAATTCAGTTATCTTAAATATAACACATTTTTTAAAAAAATATTTTGCAATGCACAGCACTGCAGCTCCAATGCAATTCTTTTAGACGTCTAGACAAAGGGCTTTAACTCAGCAGGAGAGTATCTGAGTTGCCTGCAGAAGGTCCCAGACTCAATCCAATCTCAACTTCTAGGTAGGGCTGGGAAAAGCTCCTGCCTAAAACCTCACAAAGCACTGCCAGTAAGTGTAAACAATTTGGCAGTCAGTGTAGATATCTGAGTACACATTAATGCCAAGAGAACTTCACTCCTTTCTGCGGTCATGTTGCAGCATCCTGCATTAATTGCACTAGCTGGACTAAGCACAAGGGAAGCTTCACACAGAGTGCATTATAGTAATCCAGTCTTGAAGTCAGCAGTGCCTGAACTACTGCATTCAATCTAGCCCAACTCAAGAGGGGTCACAGCTGTTGTACCAACAGAGTCTGGCGAATGGTGCTCCAAGGTGGATCATTTAGCTGTCACGTCTAATACCTATTGATTGACCTGTCCTCCTCAATAAATCTGTCTAATTCCCATTTAAAGCTAAGTTATTAGCCATCACCACTTTGCAGGGTAAGTGAATTCCATA